CATATTGAAACTTACTATATAGATCAGTCTAGTGTATAACTTGAGATTTGGGATTATTTTATTATTATTTTGTTTTCATGACAACAATTTGGTCTTATACTGAAAATGAGGGTGGTGCTTGTTTCTAGACTTTATTGTACTTCCTTAAACCACAGGAAACATATGAGTCTGACAGTAACATAAAGTACATGAGGATACAACTGCTTGTAAACTGCTCTTCAGTGGATAGAATGTAGTCTTCAAGTGCATAATTTACAATATTCTTTGGTGATGTTTATGAGATGAGTTGTAAATGATTGTATTGCCACTATACCTGACTTCCCTGCCTCTGTCCCCGCTCCCAGGCCCCCAGGGGTTGAGGTCGGGACATGTCCCCCAGTGGCGGTCAACCTGGCACGCTTCTTCTCCAACTGCCTCACACAACTGAAGAGTAAGGACAGACAAGGTAAGATGTTTGTATTTGAGGAATACAGTATAGTTTTTCCCTAAACTTTCATAGTCAAACACAAGGATGTTGTTACATTTCACATGGGGATAGAGCAAATTTGATTGCTTTTCTAAGATGCCATATTTAAGACTAACCTTGTGTATTGTTGGACATAATAATAACATCTGATATTTTGAAAATCCTTGAACAGGTCTGATGAGCTCTTCCATGTAATTGCCTGCACCCTTACATTTAGAGACAAAGTATGCCACTAAAAAAGGTAGTTTATGGTTCAATAAGTCACATTTTAATGTCTGTTCAGAGTGTGATTATCAAAAATCTCATGCAGCAATAAGCAGGATTGATCAAATTTAAGTTTTATATTGATTAGCTTCGGTTTAGTCTTGTGATTTGGAACAAGTTCATTGTGGAGCCATATGAGTTGAAATAAAGGACACACATACGCAATAATAGTTGAATGTTACAAATAAAGAATGAATGTTACAAATTAAGGTCATTATTTTTAACTTATCCTGCATTATTCTTAATGCATTCACTACTTACGATGGTCTTGGGTAAAAAAAAAATGTTTTTGTTTTCAAATCCTGCTTTTTTGAATGGACCATCGCCACTGTCATGTGACCTTGATGACACATCACCTCACATCACTGCCTGTCGCATAACAGCTAGGACGTATTGGCAGCCATTCGGTAAAAAAAATACAAAGTTGAAAAAAAGGACAAAAGTACTCAATTAATGTCAAATATGACGAATAAAGAACTAAATGTTACTACTAAAGGTCAAAATACAATGTTAATAGTCAAATATTACGAAAAGACGTCATAAGAAAAGAAAGAACAATGTGTACGAAAGAACGTTAGTGATCACGAAAGGACGTTTTCAATAAAGAACGTCAGTGAGCACGAAAGTACGTTGACAAAAAAGAACGCCAGATGGCGTTGCAATTTGTAAAACATTCCGAGTTTAATTGGCTTGTTCCCCCGTGTATAGTATATGATAACTGCATGCCGAATGGCCGCCCATAAGGACGTCTCTCAGTTGAGTTCTTTAAATTGGATTTTTTTTAGACCTTTAGCTTCAGCTATTACTGTGATGGGTGATGTATTCTTTTCATATTACCTTCACTATTTTTTTTATTAATATGTGGGTGATTGTGGTATAAAAAGACTTTGGCTTGTTGTTTCCCACGAATTTGAATTTGTGTTACAATTGTTTACCTGCAGGGGTAGTCAAATTGTTTGCTATTCGTAGCTAGGTATTTATAACATCTTTATGTGTATTTAATTAAAGGTAGCTTTGACGTTACATAGAGTTTGCGTAAATTATTTCATTGTATAGACTTTCAACTTGTAAAATATTTGCCGATAGATTTTTGTATAATTCTATGGCAATTCTTCAACTCTGTATCAATCAACAACTCCCTATTTGCGTAAAATATGCTTGTGCAGTGTACAAATTATTTTTTTTCACCTCTCTCTCTCCATCGGGTTTTGCTATTTATAGACAGGTCACTCAAAAACGTATTTTGAAGCGGTTCCGTCGTGTTGCGAGGAAGATGTCACAGTCGCAGGATGCGAGCAGTGGACATTCTTCTATCATAACTACGCAACCATTATCTTCGGTTGGTAATATGGCTTCCGTAATAGTGACTGCAGACATTCTCCAAATTCAACAATGTCGGAGGCCGCTGTGAGTATCATACCTGCTTCTAATTTTCAGCGTTTAGGACTACCAGTGCTACAGCCCCTGCAAGGCTAGCATGCTCATCTCACGACGCTTTGATTAGGGTATCGCAGACACATGCCATGATCCAGTCAACACCAATGGGCATTGCTTCTCAAGGGCTTGCGTTGAGTGCAGTGCCTTCCTACTTCCCAGGCGCGTCTACAATTACATTAGACTCAGGGCTTCCACCGTACACCATTACGTCCGTGACGCATGATCAGCTTAGCGGTGTTCCACCCACTTCTCCGGCAGCGCAGCAGTTGTACGCTCAGCCGTCAGCACTGTACCAGAACAGCAATTGGATACGGAATTTTATGCAGTCCATGTGGTAGCAGTCTATGGCACATTTGTACCCAACGCCTGCACCTATGTTCCAGGCGCCAGCGTCAACTACAACTCTTGCACATGCATAACAGGGTTGATAAGAAGGATACCATATGGTCATATCCCACCTCAATTCCGTTGGATCTGATGTTGACAGAAATGGTTAGGGCACTGGACAAGAATTTCTCATGACTCACACTTGCCCCATCATTCAAACTGCCAAAGTTGAGGAAAGATGATTTTCCTATTTATGATTTTTGTCGGTAGCAGATCAGGTATATTGAAAACTTTGTCAGCATTGGCGTCTTCAACCTGTGCTATGGATCAAGATGTAACGGAAGATAATCCTAACCATTTAGATCACTTCCAAACTGTGGCTGCCTTCCAACAGGATTAAAATGACCACATGAGGAACCATGTCAGAGCCTCACCAGCTGAGATTACTGTGACACGCAGGATTAGGTATTTAGCGCTTTTAAACTGGTATTCTGAGTTTAAGAGCAGGCTCCTACGTCAACCTTGGTCATCTAGGATACTGTTCAATGGACAAATGGTTGATACGCATTCTAAAGTATCCAATTACGCTAAGGATGGGACCGCGCTCAAGGCATTCAGGCAGGCCGGATAATTACAAACCTAGACGCTCTTCTCTTAAAGAAGGTCAAGATCAGGATTCTTTTAGAGGAAGGGGGCGTAGCAGAGGTTCTTATCAATCCCCCAGGGCAGTGGAAGTGTTGGACAGTCACGACTGGGAACTCCCACCCCCTTTACTGTGTATTTGGTTGCACTGTTCCGGAGAATCGCTAAATGACCAAGGTCCCGGAACTACAGGCTCTATTATGCTCATTTAGGCTTGTTGATCAGAAGACCGCCCCCCTGCTTGGGACTTGAATGTGATACTTCAAGGTTTGCGAGGGCCCACCCTTCGAGACCCTCTACGCATCCTCTTTTTATGACCTCAACAACAAAACAATAGTTCTCTTGGCATTAGCAACTGCGGCATGGGTGAGCGAGTTACATGCACTTGACATCACCCAGGTCCGTTCTGAGAATAGTATGCACTGAGTGAAACATCTTGGGTTGTGCTAAGATTTTGTTGCAAAAAATCAACTACCAGGCCAACCTGATCGTTCCTTTACTATCCCACCAATTTCTACGATTGTGGGAGTTGAAGATGAGGGTGAACTCATCATATGCCCGGTACACTCACTATGAGTTTACAACCTTCACTCCAAAACTAGGAGTGGTTCGATTAAACGGTTGTTCATACCCGCATCTCCTGCGTCCACGACCAAAGTTAGTCGCAACACCATCTCTATGGTTATGGGCAGTCATCTTTCAGGCTTATGAGATTGCCAAAATTGATCCTCCGAGAGCAAATAATTCTCATAAGATCAGGGCGTTAGCCTCTACCATGGCGTTACATAGTAACTGTTAAACGATCATGGAAGGATGGTTTAGGAGGTCCAACACAGTTTTTGCTTGTCATTATCTTCCCGATGTGGCTCTTGGAGACATCAGAGGCTTTCCAAGTTTTGGCCCTCTGGTAGTAGCCCAACAGATAACCAACCCTCGACACAAATAATGAACTTGCCCAATACGGAGCCAGTCTATTTCACGCATAGGTGGTATGACACACACCCAGTGGAAGAAGTGAAGACAAGCTTTTTATCAGGCTTTGGCTCGATGACACAGTAGGTAAAGATTTCAACTTTCGCTATCATCCTTTATTACCATGTGTGTACAGGGTGCTACCTTTTAATTCTTATGTTCCATCTGTAAAAGATTGAACTACCCCTACCGCTACAGCGTTTTTCTTTGCTTTTTCTGCCTCGCAGATTCTTGATAAACATGAGTCGTTTTTCGTGTGTGAATTATTGAAGTTTTGGACATCTGAAGGCCTCCAAACCATACGATACAGATGCATTAAGGAGTAATGCAGGAAAAGTTAAACATTTAGTAGAGTGTGTTTATTACGGTAAAATCTAAATATTCTTTTACATTTGTATAGTTATCCTAAGGTGTAAGGACCCAGACTTGTCTCCCCACTTTGTCTTCAGAAATCTCAAAAGATTCCTTACATCTTTCTTGAAACAACATATGTGTATGTTACTGTTACTCATTTCCAGGGTATTTTCATTATGTCAGTTACACAATAGATAAAGCCTCTTGGACCTTTATACCAACGACAAAGCTACTGTAATTCAATAAAGTTTACAGTTACAGTGTAGCCATGTTTTCTTCACCCTTCTTATCCCCCGCCGGGCCAGAATGGCCGAAGGGGGATTATGTCCCAGCGCAGTCCGTCCGTCCGTCCATCCGTCCCACAGAGGGTACTAAGCTTGTGAAATCAACTTCTCCTACAGTTTCCAGAGAATATCCCTGAAACTCTACACACAAGATGTCGACATGTTGATGATACACAAATTGCAGTTCTGTTTCATTTCGACTAATTTTGACAGAGTTACTGCCCCTGTTTTACTGAGCTTCATTTGCCTTATTGTGAGAGAGGGCACTAAGCTTGTGAAATCAACTCCTCCTCCAGCTTTTAGAGAATATCCCTGACACTGTACAAACAAGATGTCGACATGTTGATGATAGGCATATCACAGTCCCATTTCATTTCGACTGATTTTGACAGAGTTACTGCCCCTGTTTTACGGAGCTTCATTTGCCTTATTGTGAGAGAGGGCACTAAGCTTGTGAAATCAACTCCTACAGTTTCTAGAGAATATCCCTGACACTCTACACACAAGATGTCGACATGTTAATGATACACATATTGCAGTTCTGTTTCATTTCGACTAATTTTGAGAGGTACTAAGCTTGTGAAATCAACTCCTCCTCCAGCTTTTAGAGAATATCCCCGACACTGTACAAACAAGATGTCGACATGTTGATGATACGCATATCGCAGTCCCGTTTCATTTCGACAAATTTTGACAGAGTTACTGCCCCTGTTTTACGGAGCTTCATGAAATCTACTCCTCCAGTTTTCAGAGAATATCACAATATCTAACTATAACTATAACTATAGTTAGTTTCCTTGTATAAGGCTTTTGTGGGTGAGCTACATCCTTATGGCATTAGCATTCAGACTGGAGTACTCCCAACAAAACGTTCTGCACAATTTGTTTCAAATGCAGTGCCATCTACTGTTGTTATTTCATAAAATACAAAGAAAATATAAACTTGTTAAAAAAATTCATGCGGGGGATGTTGTGCTCTCAGAGCACTCTTGTTCTCCTTCCAACTTTCTCTCTACCCTGTTTTCTCCTTCATTTTCATTTCTCTCCATCAACCTCCTCTCCACCCTTTTTTCTCCTTTCATTCTCAATTCTCTATCCACCCTTTTTATCCTTCATTCTCAATTCTCCTTCCAACTTCCTCTCCACCCCGGTGATTTTATCAATACAACTTCCTTTCAGATTGTAACATGTAAGGAAATGTAAAATCAAATGACAAATGTTATCTTTATATTCCCAAAGATCGAACACGCAATCTTCGTATCTGTAGCCCAGTGAGTGTACCTCAAGGCTACATAGGCGCTGATAAATCGTAATGATTTTTAGAATGTCTTTTTCAAGAACCGTAAGCTAGCAACAAAGATTTTACGCCTGTTTCCTAAGGTTACTACCACTCCTGATATGTTGCTTACTGATGTTCTTCTAGTATATGATATGGACACAGCCTCTCCTCAAGTGCTGCTTTGTGATGTTCTTCTAGTATATGATATGGACACAGCCTCTCCTGAAGTGCTGCATAGTGATATTCTTCTAGTATATGATATGGACACAGCCATTACTGAAATGCTGCTTAGTGATGTTGTTCTTGTATAGGATATGGACACAGCCACTCCTAAAGTGCTGCTTAGTGATGTTCTTCAAGTATATGATATGGACACAGCCATTACTGAAGTGCTGCTTAGTGATGTTGTTCTTGTATAGGATATGGACACAGCCACTGCTGAATCGCTGCTGGGTGATGTTCTGCTAGTATAGGATATGGACACAGCCACTCCTGAAGTGCTGCTAGTGATGTTCTAGTATATGAAATGAACACAGCCGCTCCTGAAGTCCTGCTTAGTGATGTTTCTCTAGTATATGATATGGACACAGCCGCTCCTGAAGTCCTGCTTAGTGATGTTCCTCTAGTAAATGATATGGACACAGCCACTGCTGAAGTGCTGCTAGTGATGTTCTTCTAGTATATGAAATGGACACAGCCGCTCCTGAAGTCCTGCTTAGTGATGTTCCTCTAGTATATGATATGGACACAGCCACTCCTGAAGTGCTGCTAGTGATGTTCTAGTATATGAAATGGACACAGCCGCTCCTGAAGTCCTGCTTAGTGATGTTCCTCTAGTATATGATATGGACACAGCCGCTCCTGAAGTCCTGCTTAGTGATGTTCCTCTAGTATATGATATGGACACAGCCACTGCTGAAGTGCTGCTAGTGATGTTCTTCTAGTATATGAAATGGACACAGCCGCTCCTGAAGTCCTGCTTAGTGATGTTCCTCTAGTATATGATATGGACACAGCCGCTCCTGAAGTGCTGCTTAGTGATGTTCCTCTAGTATATGATATGGACACAGCCGCTCCTGAAGTCCTGCTTAGTGATGTTCCTCTAGTATATGATATAGACACAGCCACTCCTGAAGTGCTGCTAGTGATGTTCTTCTAGTATATGAAATGGACACAGCCGCTCCTGAAGTCCTGCTTAGTGATGTTCCTCTAGTATATGATATGGACAGAGCCACATCTGAAGTGCTGCTAGTGATGTTCTAGTATAGGATATGGACACAGCCACTCCTGAAGTGCTGCTGGGTGATGTTCTGCTAGTATATGATATGGACACAGCCACTGCTGAAGGGCTGCTTTGTGATGTTGTTCTTGTATAGGATATGGACACAGCCGCTCCTGAAGTGCTGCTAAGTGATGTTGGTCTAGTATAGGATATGGACACAGCCACTCCTGAAGGGCTGCTTAGTGATGTTGGTCTAGTATATGATATGGACACAGCCGCTCCTGAAGTGCTGCTTCGTGATGTTGTTCTTGTATAGGATATGGACACAGCCACTGCTGAAGTGCTGCTTCGTGATGTTCTTCTCTTCAGGTGACTTCCTGGCCGCTGTGTGTGGGACGTTGATGTCATGCACTTGGGGATCCACACCAATGCTGTTCCTGTGTCGGGCGCTGGCCAATATCCCCGCAACACCCATCCTTACTCCACGCATTTTAACACTCATCAAGTAAGTTACACACTCTATTTGCTCTATAACAAATGTCAATGTTCAGTTCAGTTTTCAAGATTTGTGGAATTATTTGAAGACTGTTCATTCATTGTTTTCTGTCCCTATTCTTCTGGATCATCCAGGGATATGTTGACAACACTGATGACAACCATGGAGCCACTACAGAAGGGTGCAATTCAGTGCTTCCTGCTCAAGGCCATTTTACGCCTGACTGACAAGGTAGGTCATAACACTGGCACTCCACCTGCCCAAGACTCCCCACCTGCCCAAGACTCCCCACCTGCCCAAGACGCTCTTACACCTGACCGACAAGATAGGTCATAACAATAACGCTCCACCTGCTCAAGACCCTCTTACACCTGACCGACAAGATAGGTCATAACAATGACGCTCTGCCTGCCCAAGACGCTTTTACACCTGACCGACAAGATAGGTCATAACAATGACGCTCCACCTGCCCAAGACGCTCTTACACCTGACCGACAAGATAGGTCATAACAATGACGCTCCACCTGCCCAAGACGCTCTTACACCTGACCGACAAGATAGGTCATAACAATGACGCTCCACCTGCCCAAGACCCTCTTACACCTGACCGACAAGATAGGTCATAACAATGACGCTCCACCTGCCCAAGACACTTTACACCTGACTGTGACATCTGATTGGCAAGGCACCATAAAAATGAAGTAGCATGATAGATTGATCAAATGCTAAATCTCTCAAAACCAATAAACTTGATCTTCTTTGTCGAAATAGACAAGGCACCATATGCATGATGTTTGTGCTTGTGACAATGCCGCACTCTGCAGTATTCCAGCTATATGTCTGTAAATAATAAGTCTGGACTAGCCAATGCAGTGATTGAGCATCGATCCACTCAATTGGGTAATGATGACATGCATCAACCAAGTCAGCGAGCTTGACAACCCAGTCCTGTTAGTTGCCTCTTATGTCAAACATAGCAACATCTTATGGCAAGCATGGGTTGCCCCCCTCCACCTGCCAAAGACACTCCACCTGCCCAAGACCCTCTTACACCTGACTGACAAGGTAGGTCATAACACTGGCACTCCACCTGCCCAAGACACTCCACCTGCCCAAGACTCCCCACCTGCCCAAGACCCTCTTACACCTGACTGACAAGGTAGGTCATAACACTGGCACTCCACCTGCCAAAGACACTCCACCTGCCCAAGACTCCCCACCTGCCCAAGACCCTCTTACACCTGACTGACAAGGTAGGTCATAACACTGGCACTCCACCTGAGCAAGACACTCCACCTGCCCAAGACGCTCTTAGTCCTGACCGACAAGATAGGTCATAACAATGACGCTCCACCTGCTCAAGACGCTCTTACACCTGACCAGAGATTGGTCATAACAATGACGCTCCACCTGCCCAAGACGCTCTTACACCTGACCGACAAGATAGGTCTTAACAATGACGCTCCGCCTGCTCAAGACGCTCTTACGGCAAGCATGGGTTGCCGAAGACTTATTTTAACCCTGGTCTTCATGATATGAGGCGGAAAAATGAAGTAGCATGATAGATTGATCAAATGCTAAATCTCTCAAAACCAATAACCTTGATCTTCTTTGTCGAAATAGACACAAGTAACAGTGGAGGATTTTGCATCCATTCTTGCGGTATTTGAGCGCAATGAGAGCTTACAAAGGGGAACAACTCAGTGGGTAGAGGCTAGTGTATGGCTTCAGGAGGCTGCAACAGAGGCTGATGAGCAGTGGAGCCAGGCATATATCCAACAAGCTGTCAACAACATGATCCATGACTTCCTGATTGACCCTGCAGGTACTGTTGTAGGACACCGATTGGTCATCCATGTAATGTTTTGTTGATCAGGTGATAGAAATAGAATACACATTATTATCCCCTGGGGATATAATGCCAGGGGATGTAGTCGACGCCTTGTCTGTCTGTCCGTCCATCAGTCTGTCCGTCTGTAATCATTTGTTTTCCGGAGTGTAACTAAAAAACAATTCAATATTCTTCAACAAAAAATGGCAGATATTTCAAACAGGCCATGAAGTGGTTCCTTTTGCTATTTACAAATTTTTGGCATTTTTATTTTTCTCGATTTCCATGGAAACAATTTGTTCTTAGTCTCTAATGGTGGGATGGATTTCGTTTCCGGAGCACAACTGAAAAAATGTTCATTACTTTTCAGCAAGAATTGGCAGATATATCAAACAGGTCCTGAAGTGGTGCCTTTTGCTATTTACAGATATAATACAGATATATTTCCGTCAACCGTGGTCCTCGCCTCACTCTTCCATGGTCAGGGGGCACGGTTGGCCCAGTCGTCTAAGGCGCCGCGATTCGCTGTGCAGAGTTGCGTCCCTTGGGCACGCCAGAAACCTATGATTGTGGGTTCGAATCCCGGTTCGCCCCGATTATGTTTCTAGGTTTGTCAGCACCATACCCCTGCTGGTGGGTTTTGCCGAAGTGGTAAACGTCTGAGACCTGCATCACTTGGGGCTTTCCTCCCACATTAAGCTGACATGCCGCGATATAACTGGAATATTGTTAAAAGCGGCGTAAAACCCAACTCACTCACTCACTCACTCACTTCCATGGTCAGGTCTCCAAGACCCATTCAAGAGTCTCTGCATTCGCGAGGGATGAAACTGCCCTGAAGACTCTACCAATGCGTCTTTTTGAGGCAAGCCCAGAGGCAAGGGGAAGCCCTCGAGTTTCTACCAGCGTCGTGATCGCTCAAGAGGAGGGAGCGGCGACAACAGGGAACTGCAAATGAACCTCCCATCCCCATTCGTTCAAATGGTCGACACCCCTGTAGGTGAGAGACTGTGCAGATATTGGCGGAACTGGAAGATCCTGGGTGGCCCAGTCGCCGGCGAGGGTCTGGTTCGTCGGTCTCAGCGAGATAGCTGCTGCTGACCCTCTGCCACTCCTAGATTGGCCAAACCTGCTGGTTCATCCATACAGCAGGTGACGAGGTTTCATATACGTGTCTGGTCCATTTACAAAGAGCACTCAGTGCCAAGGGCTACTCAGCCAGAGCAGCGAAGGCCATCACACTTGGCTCACAATCCATCCACCAGGAGCCTCTATGATGACAAGTGGATTTCCTTCGAGAATTTCTGTAAAGAAAAACATCAGGAGTCCACCTCTGCTTCTCTTCAGTTCCTGGCCGAGTTCCTGTTGTTCCTGCGTCACACACAGTGTTTGAAGGGAAGCTCCATCACTGCATATCTTGTAGCCCTCAACTCTGTCTTGGCAGTTCCAGAAGATCGCAAGATGACGAAAATTCTGGAACTCCTTTCTGGAACTCCTTTCTCTACTTTGCAAGACCAGAAGGTGAAATTCAGACCACCCGCCTGGGACTTGAATGTCGTCCTCACCTGCTTGAGAGGTTCGCTCTTTGAGCCCCCTCATTTGGCGTCATACTACAACCTTACGAAAAAGACCAGCTTCCTCATGGCTATTGCCAAGGGTGCGCGTGTCAGCAAGATCCACGTGAGCTGTGAGCTGTTCACCTATGACTGTGCTGGGACTATTGCAAAGAACCAGCTCCCAGGACAGCCTGACAGACCCTCTGTCATTCCGTCACTATCCTTGATAATTGGAGTGGAGGACGAACAAGAGCTCCTTCTGTGTCCGGGTGGGAGCACTGAGTAAACAGTGCCGCCGTCTCTTCACTACCTTCAAGATGTCGGATTAGAAGACGTGCAAGGGACACACAGCTTTGGCCCTTTAGTGGTGGCCCAACAGGTCACCGTTACTAGGCTTCATTGATGTCTTCGCTATTCCAGAGCCAGCCTCTCGACCTCAACTGGTGCATACCACCCTTGACTAGAGGGCTACATACGTCAATTATGAGACAATAACTTCGGTTAATTCCCTAAGTTGAGTCGATACCATGATACACAGCATACCTAACTACCTCCTTCCCTGTCAACAGGAATGGTCATTTGCCTTCACTGACTGGCTCAGGGATCTTGGAGAGTTTGGATAAAAAGACCATATCTGAAGGTATGCCCTACTCCAAGTTCCGTCGGATACAGACTGCAGTGAGGAGTAATGCAGGAGAAGTTAAAAAATCCAGTAAAAGCCCTAGATATTTTTTATATTTGTGTACTTATCCTGCATTATTATGTCTACACAGACCCACCCATTGCAGAGCTCCTCCACACAATGTCGTAGATGTTCCGGCTTCTAGCAGTAATGTGAAGACCATGGTCACGTGGGAGCTGTGTGATAGGGTTGTCCTCAAGGCTAATTGAAACAAATTCTTCTTCAGCAAGACTTTCTGTGAACAAAAAGCAGTAATATGCATTAAGGAGTAATGCAGGATAAGTATACAAATATAAAAGATATCTACTGATTTTACTAGTTTGGGCATTTATATTTTTTTTGATTCATGGTAAACAATTTGTACTTCGTCTCTAATGGTGGAATGGATTTCGTTTCGGCAGGTGTAACAAACAGATCCTGAAGTGGTGCCTTTTGCTATTTGCGGATTTTGGTAATTTTTACTTTTCTTGATTTGCAATTTGGACTTAGTCTCAAAAGGGTGGGGGTAGGTGTCATTTCCAGAGAACAACTTGAAAACTGTGAAAGACTTATCATCCAAATCTGGTACATGTATTAACCAAGTGGTGGTGCCTTTTGCTATTAAGGAATTTTTCAACATTTGATTTTTCACTGTTTCCATGGAAACAACTTAGACTTAACTGAAATGGAGGTAGGTGTCATTTCTGGAGCAGAACTAAAAAAGTATTCAACTTTTTTCGTCCAAACTTGGTATATGTATTAATCAAGGGCTGAAGTGCTACTCTTGTAAATGTCATTTTTTCCTATTACTCAGTCATTTCTGCTTGTAGCATTGATATGATGCAAGTATGGCGTGAATAACATTTATTACATATAATTCTTGCGAATACTTTACCCCTATTACATCACAGCATTAAAACCAGCATTTTGGCTGTCATCGCACCATAAAATCTTCAGATATTCAACAGTCGTCCTTTTCACTGTCAACTATCCATTACAGTTGCGAAATCAGTAGTACTTGCCACTCCGACCTCTTTCACATATTTCTCACTTCTTCCTGTTTGGGGGCGGTCGGGTAGCCTTGTGGTTAAAGCGTTCGCTTGTCACGCCGAAGACTTGGCTTTGATTCCCAATATGGGTACAATGTGTTAAACCCGTTTCTGGTGTCCCCCACCTTGATATTGCTGGAATATTGCTAAAAGCGGCATAAAACCATTCTCACTCACTCACTCTTTCCTGTGTTTGCTAACTTTGTTGAGCCGAGTCCCCAAAAAAGAAATTGTTCCCGAAGTTGTTCCCGAAGTTGTTAGCTGCACACATTATGTTGTCATTTACACTCATGATCATAACAAAATTGGCCAGAGGAGTTTTGGTCCCTGAAACGTCTGGCTGAAGTATTCTTAGATAGAAAGTTGTAATGGGAAGACTGTGTAAGTGTGACTGTTTCAAGATAGCGGGAGGCCCACAGGATGCGTGTTTGGAGTGTAAGGTAACTTAGTGTCTAAAAGTCACGGAGGCCTGGTCAAATGCAGGCTGTAAGGAGGCGACCAAGAAAATCCCATTCGGTCCCAAAGGGGAAGTTAAAGAAACCAGAGGCTCCCCTAAAGAAATCTCGACTGTCTGACGTTCCATCCGAGGCTGAGTCATCACATCAACTTTCTTTCACCATGTTGTGATACGTGCTTAAAGCTCACCAGAGATTTGCATACTGTACCACCATGAGAGATAGATAGATGAGCCAGGATGGATTACCACACAGTGCAGGATAGTGCGCTCAACACAGGTGCAGATTTCAGTGTTGGCCAAGGTCAAGGTCAGTTGGTAATTTTCCTGGATACACAAGGTAGGTTGGCAATTTTCCTGGATACACAAGGTCGGTTAGCAATTTTCCGGGATACACAAGGTCGGATGGCAATTTTCCTGGATACACAAGGACGGATGGCAATTTTCCTTGATACACAAGGTCGGTTGGCAATTTTCCTTGATACACAAGGTCGGATGGCAATTTTCCTGGATACACTAGGTCGGTTGGCAATTTTACTGGATACATAAGGTCGGATTGCAATTTTCCTGCATACACAAGGTCGGATGGCAATTTTCCTGGATACACAAGGTCGGTTGGCAATTTTCCTGGATACACAAGGTCGGTTGGCAATTTTCCTGGATACACAAGGTTGGTTGGCAATTTTCCTGGATACGCAAGGTCGGTTGGCAATTTTCCTGGATACGTAAGGTCGGTTGGCAATTTTCCTGGGTACACAATGTCGGATGGCAATTTTCCTGGATACACAAGGTCAGATGGCAATTTTCCTGGATACACAAGGTCGGATGGCAGTTTCCTGGATACACAAGGTCAGATGGCAATTTTCCTGGATACACAAGGTCGGATGGCAATTTTCCTGGATACACAAGGTCGGTTGGCAATTTTCCTGGATACGCAAGGTCGGATGGTAATTTTCCTGGATACACATGGTTGGTTGGCAATTTCACTGGATACACAAGGTCCGATGGCAACCGATGGCTCTACACAGGACAGCTTCCACATGAGTTGTGCTGATTTCACACCAGTTGGTTGATATTGCATCACTGCTGGGGTACTTAAATCAGCTCAGGGTTCATTGTTGTGGGCGGGATAATCAGGAGATCAGACTTAGTAGCTGTCGACACAAGGATAAATCCTATTGTTTTAAAGATGGGTGAGCGCTGTGGTGACAAGCAGTGAGGGTCAAGATGATTCAGAGTTAAGATTCAGACTTAATCATTCGGGTTGACAAAACTTGACCGTACTATGGGGTCTAGGTCAAGTCAGTTGGCCATCAACTATGGGTACACACAAATGCCAGTTTTATGGACAAGACAACAAGATTCTAACCACTCTTACCCAGTTTCGGACAGATATCAAAGTGATATTGACCATTGTATGGATTCTCTGGAGGATATATAGGGAATTTTGCCCTTGTCTTCTGATATGAAATATGTCAACATGAGTTGATAAAAGTGGAAAAATCCAAGGCTTGCTTAGTGTTGATATATTTGATATCAAAAGACACGAGGGTGAGATTTTATTTATCAACCAACATCATTTTTCCAAATTTTTCAGTTTGTAGATAGTAATAAGCAGTATCTCAAGTGTAAAAAGTACTGCTAACAGCTTCAGTAGCAGGGCCATTAGTGGTGTCATTTTGATTGTGATGTCATGGTAACCAATGACATCACAATGGTCTGCAAAGCATTGTGAAGCAGTGTCATTGCAGCGATATCTACAATGTAGATATCGCTTGATCTCAACCAAGCAATATCTCCTGTGGGAGCCAGTTTTGGATGATAAATTTTGTTACAGATTGTTCTCCTGGCCACTTGTTTGTGGGTTTAATGGAGGAACTTTGCTAGCTGATGATGCCAGACCTTAAACCCTAGGTGGAGAAAGAACCTGTACCCAATATGTTGAAGTATGCAAAGTGTGGTGGTCCCGTTAACACAACTGGGCATAAACATTTACACTAACTACATTTCCTTCACCGACCACAACTTGTTATCAATCACTTGACTGTCATCTTCCCGAGGCAATGGAGTTAACTGACTATAATCATCTAGTTTCCACCCTTGCCGAACTAGGCTGGTATTATGGAGTTATATTTTGGCTGGACTAACGAGTCTATGCATAGTCCAATCACAATCGCGCAACGAAATCGAAATCCGGTTCATAAGCTGTCAATCAGATTTCCATCGATTGCAGGATTCGCAAATCATGTGCACCGCCACCTCGTTGTCAACAGATATATTCCAAATCTTTTCAAGGTGCTCACATGATTTGATGCACTTGGTGATGTAAGACCCGTTCTATCACAATATAGATCTTGATTATCGATCGACCGGGCGCCGCCATTTTGTTTGAAGCAAATGCAAGTGATGCGAGAGGTGGAATCTGATTGGTCTATAGGAGAGGCATAGAAGGGACATCACTCATAATAGCCACTGGTGGTGCTACAATCGAGCCAAGGAATTCCAGCCTAGTTCGGCAAGGGTGGAAACTGAACTTTTAAAGTCAGTTAACTCTCTTGCCTCGGGAAGATGCTTGACTGTCTGACGTTTCTGCATGTACCAATATGCAATTTGGTCTTCAGTATTTATGTGGTATGACTCACAGTCATGTTATGTTTTGCTGTGTAGTGTGCTACTTGTGTAGGTAACATGATGTGAGCATGTCTATTTATTATCCCCCGTCACGAAGGGGAAAGGGGATAAAGGAATAGTTGCTGTCCGTCTGTCCTGTCCTTTCGTCCGTCATTCACATTTCGTTTCCGAAGCAGAACTAAAAAAACATGAATCAACTTGGCATATAGATAGGTTTGGTGGTGAACTGGCGCTTTTTTATAGTTTCGAATTTTTAAAAAGATTGTTTTTGAGTTTCCATGGCAACGACTTTGACTTAGACTGAAAATGGGGTGAGCGCTCCTTTTCAGAGCAGATTTTGAAAACTGTACAATATTTCTTAACCAAACTTGGCACATAGATAGGTCTAGTGGTAAACTGGTGCCCTTTGGGATTTGTGAAATATTTATTTTTTGTTTCCATGGCAACGACTGAAAATAGCGGTAGTACTCCTTATCGGAGCAGTTCTTGAAAACCGTACAATATTTCTTGGCTTGCACACAACCAGACATGTCATATTGGCATGAGTATTTCATGCTTGTGTGGGATTGTCTTCTGTTTTTACTTCTTCACTCTTGTATGACTTTCCTGAGCTAATCTGATTAATTCCAGAAGAATTCATGTGAGCTACATAACCATGAACTGTTTTTTATATGTTAATTGTTACTTGCAGAATCAGGAATGTTCAATTCTTTGATGATGACGAAGATTGTCCGTCTGCTTGTCATTGCCATGGATGCTGGCATATTTAAACAAATACAAAGAGAAGATAGTATTGGCCTTGACTTCATGTTAGGTCAGATCACAGATGTCATCAGAAGTATTAACTCCCATCCCTATATGACAAAGGTGAAGGCTGATCGTGCTGTCAGTCTTCTGGCTACCTTGGCAACCGAACACTCCAGTGGTGAGTCAGACATTTTTATCCCCCCGGCATATAATGTGGGGGGATATAGCAATCAGCCAGTCTGTCTGTCCGTCCGTCCGTCCGTAATCATTTCCTTTTCTGGGGCAGAATTCCAAAACCATTCAGTGTATTTGATCGAAACTTGGCAAAGCTATCAGGCACATACTGAAGTGGTGCCTTTTGATATTTTGGGAATTTTTTAATTATTATATTTTTAAATTGTTATGGAATGAAGTTGGACATAGACTCAATTGGGGATGGGGTTCGTTTCCGGGGCAGAATTCGAAAACCATTCAGTGTATTTGATCGAAACTTGGCAAAGCTATCAGGCACATACTGAAGTGGTGCCTTTCAATATATTTTTTTACGAATTTATATTTTTTACAATTTTTATGGAAAGAAGTTGGACCTATACTCCATTGGGGAACGGGTTCGTTTCCGGGCCAGAATTCGAAAACCATTCAGTGGGTAAACAATGTATGCTTCTTAAAGAACATTCAACTGTTGACTCATTACATAGAGAATTGCACATTAACTAGTGGTTTCTTTACAGACAGCTGCCAGGGGGAAATGTCATCTTTCTGATGACCCTTGTTATAGCTATCAAGAACTGGGATTCATGTGGTGTACTTTTAGATTTCCCACATTTTGTTCAAGGCAGTTTTGTCTTAAAAAAACCAAGGTATTGTTATCCCCCCAGCACATAATGCAGGGCGATATAGTTAACGCCTCATCTGTCTGTCCGTCTGTAATCATTTCATTTCTGTAGTGTATCTCAAAACTTGGCAGATATATCAAACATATCCTGAAAGTGGTGCCATTTGCTATTTGCGGATTTGGGGCATTTTTAATTTCTAGATTTCCATGGAAACAGTTTGGACTTTGTCTCAAAAGGGTGGGGGTAGGTGTCATTTCCAGAGAACAACTTGAAAACTGTGAAAGACTTATCATCCAAACCTAGTATATGTATGAAGTGGTGCCTTTTGCCAAGTATTCTTTCCTAACACTTTGCACACACAAAGACAAGGTTGTCAAATGGTGCCTTTGCTACTAAGGGGTGTTTAGAATTTATATATTTTCTGTTTTCATGGCAACAAGTTTGACTCTGACTCTGTTCATCATGGTGTGTCGTACAGACCATATCTCTAAAACTGATATGTACTCTTTCTTGAGACTGTGCACACACAAAGAGCAGGTTGTCAACTGGTGCCCTTTGCTATTTAGGGATTTTTATAATTTATAATTTTTCTGTTTCAATGCCAATAAGTTTGATTTTGACTCTAGCTGTTCATAGTGGTGTGTACCTGACATAGAAATACAAAGTTCTGAATCCCAATTCCATGGTATTGTTTAGATAGCTGAATAACTACTCTTGTATTTGGATGGATTAGATAGAATTTCTCTCTCATCAAGTTGGACTTGAAGAAACAGTCAGATGATTTTTTCTTTCGAATTTGTTGGGACCAGGGGGATTTGTTAATCTTCTGATGTTTCTTGTTATTTTATTGCAAATAGACAAACTTTAAAAAGTGGGTCACTTTTTGTTTCTAATCGTATATACCCATGACACTACTGGAAAATAAGCTCAACACGTCAGTTATTTCTTTTCTTCTTTGCAGCTTCAGGAGGTGTGTGTGAGTGTGACCAGAGTGTGCAGGAGGCAGTGGAGGGGTGCTGGCAGGAGCTGGTGGTGTACATTGGTAACAGAGTCACACAGGACATCACAGAGGTGAATGAAGTTAAATGATTGTAATGCAGATTAAGAATCTTACATTTCTGTTAGCCATTTTTCAGACATTCTGAATATAAGCATACATTTTTTACTTATCCTGCATTACTCCTTAATGCATATTACTGCTTGTTTCTTGACAGAGAAAAGAACTGTGTGAGGGTCTTTGCTTGAAGAAGTTGCTCCAACTAGCTGAGAGGCCAGCCCATCACGCAGCTCCCACGTGACCAAGGGAAGTGACGTCACGGATCCTCACATTACTCTTGTCCCTTGATGAGAGAAGACCTGTTTTTTTTGCTGTAACATAAAACTGATTCAAACCCTCACGTGTTTGCTATCTGAGTTAAAGTTTTTTGTCTTTGTGCCTACTGTTTGTATTTTGTACATTCTATGTTTGATAACATGTGCATAAAAGTATTAGACACTTACTGGCGTTTTCTCAAAAGAAAACTTAAGGCCAGGTGTCTTGTTGCTCCAAGTAGCCATCTTTATATTTTGTGTAGTCAGCAGTTAGTGAACTGGTTTGCGTTCTATATTCTTTTGCTTGGTACCCCACGCTTGGCGTATCCTCACAGGTATGGTTTTGTTTTGTTGTATGTTGTCTTATGTTTGTTGTAATATTTGTTTCATAAACCCACACACCACACAGTGGGATAAACAAATTATAGCATACATAATCGGGCGGGGACGCATTGTGATTTTACACTGCTTCGTTGCAGATATCATGCCCTCCTGCTCAAAGTGCCGGCGTAATATGTCGGCGTGGGATCCCCACCCCCTGTGCCTTAATTGTTCATCTCAATGCCTCCAGAGTCACTGATGTAAAGACTGTTTACTGCTTTCATCCACAGCTTTCAGACAGTACCTCCGTGTGTGTAAAAATGCAGAACACAGCAGGCCAGGAAACGTCAGACCACACCGAGGTTTCGCTTTCCAAATCGGCCACCTCAACTGCTACCTTGATGTCGGACCCCACGGATGTAGTCTCTACCCAGAGCACTTTGACAACCACGACAGCGTCGATCTTTATGGCGGTGACCTCCGTGACGCCTGTCGTGCGCTCACATACCAGACGGCGCCTATACTATCCTGCGGACAGACGCTCGGTAACCCACAGGCACCCCTGCCTATGGCGCAGGCGCCCCTGCCTGCGGCACAGACACCCATGATAGACGCCTCCCTCCTCCGGTACATTCAGTACTTACAGGCCAGACAGCCTACTCAAGCGGCCTTTCAGATGGCGCCTATCTGCACAGCGCCCTTACAGACGCCCGCACCTTTGACACTGCCGCGTTGGCCAACCTCACAGACGCCATTTACCTCTTTTCACTCCGCGGATGTGGCTTCCCCATGTACGTATTCGTGGCGGAGTGACAGCAGATCTTCTAAACAGGGTCATAGATCTAGGAGGCGCTCCCCGGTTAGCAGACGCTCGAGTGGCGATCAATCCGACTCTTCGGAGGGCTCCTTCATCCCTTGCTATGATGACACCCCTATGGACGGTGAATCACACCTGGGTTTTGACCAAGTCGCAGACTGGTTGGCTGACAGATTGGAGGCTATAGCTCCCTCGGCTGGCCTAGAGGTCGATAGCAAGATGGCCATACGTACAGACCCCACTTCGATCCCTCCTGACCCTCTGATCAGAGACATGATCTCAGCTCTGGACGAGGACTTCAGTAAGCTGTCACTGATTCCATCCTTCAGGGCCCCACGTTATAGAAGAGATGACTACCCAGTCCACTGTCTTCAAGTTGCGAACCACGCTCACTACTTAGATGAGGACATGCACCGCGTGACGGGATCGAACCGCTCCACCTCAGTTCGAGTCTCAGACAGCAAACTAGCCTACGTGGAGACAGAGATTCGCCACACGCTCAAACCCCTCTCTCTGATGGCGTTGTCCTCCAGGGCCATACTGCAGGACTTAGCGGAGGACAACCCCCATAGAATTGACCATCTAACTACCGTCGTATCCTACCTCCAACGACAGGTGGAACTGATGTGCTCCCACATGCGCGCCGCTCTGATCGAAATCACTACCACTAGACGCCTTGGGTATCTTGGCTTGTCGAACTGGGACCCAGAGTTCAAGAGAAACCTTTTGCATCAACCTTGGTCCGGCTCTGACCTTTTTAATGGACAGATATCCAAGACACAAGCCCAGGTCTCAGCCTTCACCCGTGATGAGACGGCTCTCAAGGCCCAGGCCAGGGTGACACAGCCAGCCTTTGCTAAGGCATCCCAGTCGGGCTCCTACCAGCCACGACGCAACACCCTCTGGACTCGGGGGCGGGGCTCCACCTCAACCTTTAGAGGCAGAGGCAAGGGGAAAGGAAAGTCCTCAGGCACATACCAGTCCCGACATGGCTACCCCAAGGGGGGTAACGCCGACCGCAGGGACCTCCAGTGAACCGCCAGACAGGCATGACTTGGATCTCCCACCCCAAGCCGTCCAAGTTGTCGACACCCCAGTAGGTGGGAGACTCACTTCTGGCAGAATTGGGAGATCCTGGGGGACCCATACGTCACCAACATCATCCGACACAGGTACAAGCTTATAGACGACCCGCCACTGACGCCGTCACCCATAGTGGACACATACCCCCCATCCCAACAGCAGCTACTGAGCCAAAACATCAGGGCCCTGCTAGACAAGAAAGCCTCAGAGGTGGTACACACCCCAGCCATAAGACCGGGCTTCTATTCACCTGTCTTCCTGGTCCCCAAGAAGGACACGGACAAACACAGGATGATCCACAACCTCGCCGCTTTCAACAAACGCTACCTGGCGCGTCCACCTTATTTCAGGATGACCATGCTCAGGCTACTGCGATCCCGGATCCAGGCACAGGAGGCGCTCATCAGCCTGGATATTGAGGACGCCTACCTACGTGTCCCTATACATCCCGACGACCGGAAATTCCTCCGCTTCATCTTCATGGGAGGCCATTGTCAATGGGCGGTCCTCCCGTTTGGAATTTCTTCGGCCCTGTGGCTATTCACACGGCTTACCAAGCCGATAGCCTCGTACCTCCATCACCGGGACATCCAGTTCGAGGCGTACATAGACGACTGCCTACTGGACCATCCGGACCCTGTCACTCTACTCCGTCACAGGGACTTCACCCTTCGGCTCCTATACCAGTTGTTGTGGAAGATCAACCTCCCTTCGGCTCCTATACCAGTTGTTGTGGAAGATCAACCTCAGGAAGTCAGAGTTGACACCCTCCAAGCGCCTTCAGTTCATCGGGGGCCTCTTCCAGACGGACCTCGACCTCATCTCTGTACCCAGAGACCGGTGGGAACGAATGCAGGCGCACCTGATTCCAGCTCTCCACCTACCACGCACTCTGCGTCAATGGCAAGTCCTCCTTGGCCTCCTAACCTCAGCACAGGACTTGACCTACAGAAGAAGGCTCCAACTGCGCCCAGTTCAGATGTTCCTGGCGCCCTACATCAGGATCAGACGCCAGGACCCCTCCATATCCATCATCCTCCCGGATCATCTCAAGCAGCATCTCCAGTGGTGGACGGTGGAATCAAATGTCTTAGGCGGCGTCTCCTTGACAGGGCTTACGACCTCTCTAAGCCTCTTCGTAGACGCGTCCCTACAGGGATGGGGCGCACACCTGGAGGGACAGGTCGTCTCAGGGCTGTGGTCCGCCGATCAGCGCCTATGGCACATCAACAACCTCGAACTAGAAGCGCTTATCTTGGCCATCACTCACTGGAAGCAGGCTCTCAGACACGCCCGGCTCTCCATCTCGATGGACAACATCACTGTCGTATGGTGCCTCCGGAACCAAGGAACGACTCATTCGACTTCGCTCCTTCAACAGATGTTCTGATTGTTTCACCTGGTGGATCATCTGGAGATCCAGTTCCAGGTCAACCACATCCCGGGCTGCCAAACATCCTAGCGGATGCCCTATCTCGGCCAGGCAAAGTGGCTCCCACAGAGTGGAAACTTCCCAGATCCCGACCTACATATCTCCGGTACCGGATCCACTGGCTTGGGCAGTCGACACTTTCAGCGTCCCCTGGGAAGGACTTAAAGCGTACGTACGTTTTTCCACCACCTGTACTCCTTCCCAAAGTCGTCCAGAAGATCGACTTTGGTCGCGAGGGCTTGGTTCGTCAACCACAGAGAGCTGTCCGTCGTCAACCCACTGCCACTCCCAGATTGGCCAAATCTGCTGATCCACCCTCACAGCAGACAGCCACACCCAGGACCAGACAGGTTACGTCTTCATGTCTGGTCCATTTACAGAGAGCATTGAACACCAAGGGCTACTCGGCCAGAGCGGCGAAGGCCATCACGATGGCACATCGCCCAACCATCAGGAGCCTTTATGATGACAAGTGGCAATCCTTTGAGAGCTTTTGCAGGAGTAAGCACCAAGACCCCACATCTGCATCGCCTCAATTCCTGGCCGAGTTCATGCTCCATCTGCAACACAAGCGTAAGCTCAAAGGCAGTACCATCATGACCTACCTTGTTGCGCTCAACTCCGTCCTGACAGTTCCGAAGGATCGACGCATGACGAAAATCCCGGAACTACAGGCACTGCTCCGCTCATTCGACTGGAAGACCAAAAGGCAAAGGTTCCATCCTCCAGCCTGGGACTTGAACGTCATTCTCACCTCGCTGTGAGATGCGCCTTTCGAGCCACTCGAAACGTCGTCATTCTACAATCTGACGAAAAAGACGGTTAGGCCTTGGGCTAGGTATGACCCACGAGCACCCCTCCCACATCCAAACCCCACTAATTTTTTTTAAAGCCCAGAAACATACTAAACATGATTTTGAATGTTAACAACAAAAAAAGTTGGGACGAACTTGTTGTTACAGCCTTTCAAAGTATGGTACCCTATATCGCGTTTTCGGCCGGTTTTGCCGTATATCACTTGGGGGTATGATTACGTTTTGGGCTGTCATCTCACTAGTGATCCACTGATCTTCAAGTGTGATATACCACTGGAAGCCATATATATGTACCTCTCCAATGAGGTATCAATAATTGGTATTGAGTGAATATGGACCAACCCATGACAAATCGAACGTCATATATCCCGACAAAACCAAATTCTTCTCGCAGAAACCTTTAATCCGGTATATGTTCTAGGTACGTGTGCCTGATTCCACTATAATCTTCTAACACATGTTTCAGTACATCTCTTGAAGTACTTCTTTACATGTGATGTTACCAGGTGAAAATCTTTTGCACAATTTGCAACAAATTTACTACCGGTACTCTTATAATATCAGAGTAGGATACCCAATATTGCATTCTCGGCTTAGCTACATTGGAACAACGCTTGGATGTATGCTCAGGATTTGGCTTGTCATCTTGTGTGTTATTCACCGACCTCGATGTGTTATATACCATAGGAAACCATATATAAACACCATAATTTGATGTAGGCTGATTATTGATCTACTTGTGGACAATCATACAGAATACTTCTTGACAACTCTGATATCACTCACTTTTGTATGCATATAAGAGCTTCACAGTATAATGCTCGAGTCGATTTCAGAACTTTGAATGAAATGGACCTATGTGTTACATATTGAAGATGGCAACCATAAAGCTGTGCAAAAAAAACCTGATCATAATGTAAATGTTATTTATTTCAGCAAATATACAAATCAATTTCTTGGACGCAGGCTTGATATTTTGACAAATTTTGCCATTTCAAGTTGAGTTTCAGATTCTTTAGTACAGCTACTAGTTAAGGTGAATTTGCAGTGGGCATCGCCGAAGGTAAAAGACGAATTCACTTACAAACATAATTCATACATAACTTAGCTACTTAAGTTTCCAATTTACAGAAAATGTCCAAATGCGAATTGTCCAAATGCGAATTGTCCAGAGGGAAGGACCTATTTGCCTGTGAAGCAAAAACTGAAGTTTGTGAGGCCTTCCGTTTAGGTTGAGATGTCAAAGTTCCTGGTTGTATAAGATGTTGGTCTCAGTCACAACAGTTCAACCTCAAAAGACACATTATCATGGTGATGACATTTTTACAAGGTGGAACATTTCCATATATAATATTAACATGGGCATTCTGTAAGAGAATCTTAAGTATGTAATTGGAATATCATTCATTTCTGTGAATGCATGGTCCCTGTTCATTTCAAGCCATTCATATACGATTTGGACAATTCGCATTTGGACATTTTCTGTAAATTGGAAACTTAAGTAGCTAAGTTATGTATGAATTATGTTTGTAAGTGAATTCGTCTTTTACCTTCGGCGATGCCCACTGCAAATTCACCTTAACTAGTAGCTGTACTAAAGAATCTGAAACTCAACCTGAAATGGCAAAATTTGTCAAAATATCAAGCCTGCGTCCAAGAAATTGATTTGTATATTTGCTGAAATAAATAACATTTACATTATGATCAGTTTTTTTTGCACAGCTATATGGTTGCCATCTTGAATATGTTACACATAGGTCCATTTCATTCAAAGTTCTGAAATCGACTCGAGCATTATACTGTGAAGCTCTTATATGCATACAAAAGTGAGTGATATCAGAGTTGTCAAGAAGTATTCTGTATGATTGTCCACAAGTAGATCAATAATCAGCCTACATCAAATTATGGTGTTTATATATGGTTTCCTATGGTATATAACACATCGAGGTCGGTGAATAACACACAAGATGACAAGCCAAATCCTGAGCATACATCCAAGCGTTGTTCCGATGTAGCTAAGCCGAGAATGCAATATTGGGTATCCTACTCTGATATTATAAGAGTACCGGTAGTAAATTTGTTGCAAATTGTGCAAAAGATTTTCACCTGGTAACATCACATGTAAAGAAGTACTTCAAGAGATGTACTGAAACATGTGTTAGAAGATTATAGTGGAATCAGGCACACGTACCTAGAACATATACCGGAATAAAGGTTTCTGCAAGAAGAATTTGGTTTTGTTGGGATATATGACGTTCGATTTGTCATGGGTTGGTCCATATTCACTCAATACCAATTATTGATACCTCATTGGAGAGGTACTTATATATGGATTCCAGTGGTATATCACACTTGAAGATCAGTGGATCACTAGTGAGATGACAGCCCAAAACGTAATCATACCTCCAAGTGATATACGGCAAAACCGGCCGAAAACGCGATATAGGGTACCATACTTTGAAAGGCTGTAACAACAAGTTTGTCCCAACTTTTTTCTTGTTCACATTCAAAATCATGTTTAGTATGTTTCTGGGCTTTAAAAGAAATTAGTGGGGTTTGGATGTGGGAGGGGTGCTCATGGGTCATACATAGCCCACGGCCTAGGTATTCCTACTGGCGCTCGCTACAGCAGTGTGTGTCAGTAAGCTACACGCCTTAGACATCACACGGGTCCGTTTTGAGCAGGGAGCACATGGAGCCGTGCATCTGCCCTGTGCTGGGACTTCATTGCAAAGAATCAGCTCCCAGGCCAGCCCGATAGATCGTTCCTCATCCCCCCCAGTCATTGATTGTGGGCGCGGAAGATGAACTAGAGCTCCGTCTATGTCCGGTTAGAGTGCTTTGTTGCTACATCCGGCGATCCAAGGAACGCCGTTGACAACGACGACACCTCTTCGTACCGATATCTGCGACCTACTGAGCGGAAGTCAGCCGCAACGCGATTGCCCTCTGGCTAGAGCCATCATCCTTCAGGCCTACGAGGCCCCGGGATTGGACCCCCCATGCTCCAACAACCCGCATGAGATCCGGGCGGTCGCCTCCACCATGGCGCTCCACAGCAACTGCTCTCTAAGCGCCATCATGGAGGGATGTTTCTGGGGTTCCAACACGGTCTTCGCCAGTCACTACCTTCGAGACGTCGCATTGGAGGATGTGCAAGGCACGCACTGCTTTGGTCCGTTAGCAGTGGCCCAGCAGGTCACCACTACTACACGTTATTGACTACGCCGGCCTTTTGACCCACCCATCGCAGATCTACCTCCCAACGATGCCTTCCGATGTTGCGGACTACAGAGTAATGTGAGGATCCGTGACGTCACTTCCTTTGTTTGGGCTGGCCTCTCAGCTAGTTGGAGCAACTTCTTCAAGTAAAGACCCTCACACAGCTCTTTTCTCTGTCAAGAACAATCAGTAATATGCATTAAGGAGTAATGCAGGATAAGTATACAAATATAAAAAATATCTAGGATTTTACTAGAATTGTGATAATGCTCTATGAAAACTGACACATGCCCTTATTTGGATTCCGTGTGAGAATAGGTTTCCAGCATCCTATGTTGGGAGTAAAAGGCATCTTAACCTTTGGATTGGGAGGTCAGGTGTCTTGATTGTCATCATACCCTGACAGTGTGGAGCTCACCATATCAATCACTGGATTGGTTGGTCCAGATAAAACAGGCCACCATCTTAATAAATATTCTGTCTCTGACAAAACAAAACAGACTTGTCCCCCAGAATAGTAAATGGTCAGCCCATTATTATGTGTGTCCTATAGTTGGTTATCTGTGCCTACCACCTCTGTGCAGATGGATGACCTGGTATTGCTGGATATGTACACAGGCTGCATGGAGAGGTGCCTCAAATACCTGCCCCCGGACATGAGGTGTCAGTCTCTCTTTAGCCTCGTCACCACCTGCGTTAGCAAGCTACAGCATCTACAGGCCTTGCCCCAGGTATGTGTAGGACAATGCATCAAGTATATGCCTGTAGTTCTTGTATAAGCCTGTTTATGTGAAAGAAGGAATGAACAACTGAATGCACATTTTAATAAAGTAGCTCCTCATCCATTTGTTTGTGTGTGTTTGCAGGTATATCTGGAGAGTCAGATCCAGACTGTGTCATTACTGTGTCTGCTGGCTGCAGTGTCAGACATAGTTGATAGTTTCCAGCCCTCAGACACAATGGCAGACATCACAGAAACAATCCTGGAATTCACTGTGTCCATGACAATGATCCCATCATTTACTAAACAAGCATCAAAAACAAGCAATAGGTAAATTGAAAAACGTTATTACCCACACGGTAACAATGTACAATGACAACTGCATCACTGCATCAGATCCCTTGACTTTCCCAATATAAAGTGTAGGATTTCAATTGCAGTGAGTCGAGGATTTCCCAGAAGGACTGGGGCAGGGTCGTATCTAGATATATCTCCAGTCAGTGGCAGTGCATGTATTTCCTTCTGAAGAGGTCCCCCGGACGACTGTCAGCCACTCAACTCCTAGAGACTTGCTATGATGCATTTGATGTTGGCACGAGGGACTCGGACATCCAGGTTCTCCATTGTGTACAGTGTCTCCTGTCCGAGGTATGGGTAGACATGCTCAAAAATTTTAACAATATGACAACATTATTTTTCATAATATATGATTAGATTTCCTTGTAGTGTGAATTTGGCATATGACAAAAGGAGTGAGGTATCATGGCGTTTAGTGTCGCATTCATGCATTATTGCACTTTATATAGAGATGTGCATATGTGAATGTGTGTGAGTATGTTCATGCACATGCTTGTACTAGTCCAGACTAATGCCAGTTTTACAGTGCTAGCCCACTGAGATACCATGCCACAATTTAACATGGACAACATGGTTTAACACAGTATTCTGACACTGCGCTGACCAGTCCTTGTTTAGCGAGGCAGGGTAACAACACAGACCATCTTTAAAAGTCTTTTGGTATGGCACAGCCAAGATGTTTTGCCCAATCCACTAGACCACTATGACAAAAGAAAGTACAGCACAAATCAGATTGAATGGGAGCTTTAAAGTCAATAATAATAACTGGTCTCAAACCAGTGTCACAGTTGGCCCAGTTCTCTAAAGCATTGCAGTTCACTCTGCAAAGTTGCCAGGAAAGTGGGGTCAGGCCCAGATTCACTTCTGATTAGGATTATTGTTTTGTCAGCATCAGACCTGTGTATGTGGCTTTCACCAAGGTGGTTAACTTTAGACTCTCCTCCCACATTAAGCTGACATGCTGTGATATTACTTAATTTCTTTTATCTTATACTGCATTACTACCTTAATGCTCCTACTGCTGTTCTTTGACTAGGAAGACAGCTGTGAGAGGTCCAGGCTGCAGAAATTGTTGTACCGACTAGTTGTGTGGCTTCCTCCCTCCCACAGCTACCATGTGACTGGAGGTGGAGATGTCACGTATAACCACATCACTGCTAGTCATCTGACTGTACAGACGTTTGAGAATAAAGCTCCCCAATATGAAGAACCAGATAGCATCCTTTGCCTATCCTTTTGCTTATCCTTTGATAACCAATACATTCTCAGTTGTATATATTATAGTCTGGTGTACTAGGGTGGTCTTTTCACGTTTACCTTAGCGTAATTGTTGCTTGACTTTGGCATTCCCTCGCTTACTTCACACATGTGTTGTGCCATCAGCCATCTTGTTTTACCACATTGTCATGTTTGCATGTTGTGTGCTTTGATAATTCAATATGTCTGTCTCAGCTCTTGTTCATGTGCTATATACTTTTCTATTCTGGGCTATTTAAGTGTATAATCATACTCTTTATTTCGTAATTTGCTCTCGTGAAGTTTTTAATTACATGCCTGTTTCTTTTTGTTGGCATGTGTGTCTATTCTGCTTGCAACGTTTGTCTATTTCATTGAAATGATATGTCGCATTGCTCACAATGCCGGAGCAATAAATCAGCCAGGGCCCCCCAACCCCGGTGCAACGATTGAATGGTTTCCTGTTTCTGGTTGTCGCAGTTGTTTTGCTGTGATCTCCTCCCCAGTGAGAGATTACTTATTAGGGTCTTGAGAAAATGACACACCCAATGTGCCTGCAGGCATCCCAAGATGGCAGACCACGAGGACACTTCTCTGACTTCAGAGGTGGCCGAAGTTGACTCAGGTGTTATTATCCCCAACCATGCCGCAATCATCAGCGCCTCCGGGGTTTCAACCATTAATCAGTATACCTCTAGCGCCCCAAGCTTCTGCTTCAGTGCAGTAACTCCCCTTATGCATATGCATAGGCCTCAATTGCCAATAACTATGACTACCTCACATTTGTCCTTGGCTCCACTAGAAGATGCCACCACACCTCCTTGGTCTTATAAATGTGGCTCTTTCTCTCCTGGTCTTCCAGTCGTACTTCCAGATCCTCTCACTCCAAACATCGGTCTGGTAGTCATTCTCCACTTCATCGACAACATGATTATCCATCAGACTCTTCGACGAACTCAGTTGGCCTGTCCATTGCGAGTCGACCGCATTTGAGTTGGGAATGTACCAGGGACTGAACCAAGTGCCGGATTGGATGGCAGACTGGTTGGCCTCAGCCGCTCCCTCCCCAGGCCCAGATGTTGATAAAAGGAACAAAATGTGGTCTTCCCCTGCTCTAACTCCTCTTTCCACCTGACTGATCTCAGAACTTCAGTCACTATTGCAGTCGTTTTGTCTGGAGAATCAATGTGCTAAGTTTCATCCCCCAGCCTGGGATTTGAATGCGGTATTGAAGTTTTCCTCCGTCGATCCAAGACACAACGTTGATGTTGGAAACGACTCTACATTCTGGTCTCACCTACATCCTAGACAGAAGTTAGTTGTAACACTATCTCACTATTGCTGCACTCCATTATATTGCAGGCTTACGACCTTGCCGGTATGGACCCACCTAGTGCCAACAACCCCTATGAGATTCGAGCTGTTGCTTCCACCGCAGCAATTGTCAGATACTGTCTTCACAAGTCATCATCTCCGAGGCGTGGCTCTTGAAGTTGTGCAAGGTGTCCATAGTTTTGGTTCCCAGGTGGTGGTTCAGCAAGTCACCCACCCCCAGACGGTCATGTCTCATACAGCTCGGAACTGACCGTGCAACCTCTCTGGTAGAAATTACCCCAGACTAGAGGCTTTCAAGTTTCCACTTATTCCATCTGCTTGAATAGGAATTTGTAACTTTTCTACCTTTCTGTCACTGGATTTCACACCTCCAACTCTCTCTCGTGTAGCTCTATCAGACAGAAAGGTCTGTGGTTTCTGTTTTTTCCCACTCAGGATGCTATCTGGTTACCGGGATCGGTTGGAGGGTCTTAATTCCATTTGAAATGTTTGCCTCCCCTCCATTCCGTCTCATAAAAATGCAGGATAAGATAAAAAAATAAGTAAAGTCTAAATATTTTTTACGTTTGGATACTTATCCTTCATTACTACATCTGAAGTGCCCTCTCATTGCTTTGGTACCTCCACATGAAGTTTTTCAGATGTCCGTTACTAGCAGTGATGTGGTTGTGATGTCGCCACTTCCAGTCACATGGTAGCTGTGGGAGGAAGTAAGTGGTTGGTACAACAATTTCTGTAGCCAGGACCTCTCACAGCTCCGTCTCCTAGTCACAGAACAGCAGTAGAAGCATTAAGGTAGTAATGCAGGATAAGTATCCAATTGTAAACAATTTTTAGATTTTACTAATCTCATTATGATATAACGATGCCACTCTGTGTAAAGATCTGAAGACACGTCGAAGGGAACTTTCTAATCAGCCAATCATGTCAAATCTTCTAACTCCTTGGCACGAGTGAGCGAAGCAGTCATACAAGCATATCTTGAAAACAAAATAATCAAAATTGAATGCCGAAATATGTAGATATGTTATTATGTTGTGGATATTTTATGTATCCTGTCGATTCTGATCACCATGGCAACAACACCCAAAAGGTGTGGTATAGGAGGTTTATTTGAGTTCTGTATCTGTTGTGTAGATCTTAATTGAGGTGGTAAAGAATTGAAGCTGAATCATTTTAGAAAGATGACATCTGATTTGCTCAACAACCCTCGAGTCATTCAGTTAGATTAAGTGGTCAAAGTTAACTCAGAGTTTAACAAAGGCGACCTCCTATGAAAGTGTCCTCAGATCTTCATGCAGAGAGATATTGTTCGGAGTGAAAGAGCTAATTTTATTGAGATTGTGGTATTACTGAAATACTGTTCCCAGTTTACTTACTTGACTACACGATCCTCTGTTGACAGCTGGTGACCGTGGAACCAGACACAGTGTGCAAGATGCTGCATGTAGCATGGGTCAAGGCTAGTGAGGAGCTACACACTGCTTCCTACTGGCGGAAACTGTCCTGTGTTGTCAAACTGTTAACACAGAGTCCACTGCTGCTGGCAGGCCATGGCTCCCAGGTCAACGAGTGTCTGCTGAAGGTGGGGTCATTAAACTGTTAACACAGACTCCATTGTTGCCATCGAGTCCTGGCTCCCAGGTCAGTGAGTGTCTGCTGAAGGTGGGGTCAATTAAACTGTTAACACAGACTCCATTGTTGCCATCGAGTCCTGGCTCCCAGGTCAGTGATTGTCTGCTGAAGGTGGGGTCATTAAACTGTTAACCCGGACTCCATTGTTGCCATCGAGTCCTGGCTCCATGGTCAGTGAGTGTCTGCTGAAGGTGGGGTCATTAAACTGTTAACACAGACTCCATTGTTGCCATTGAGTCCTGGCTCCCAGGTGAACGAGTGTCTGCTGAAGGTGGGGTCATTAAACTGTTAACACGGACTCTATTGTTGCCATCGAGTCCTGGCTCCCAGTTCAGTGAGTGTCTGCTGAAGGTGGGGTCATTAAACTGTTAACACTGACTCCATTGTTGCCATCAACTCCTGGCTCCCAGGTCAGTGAGTGTCTGCTGAAGGTGGGGTCATTAAACTGTTAACACAGACTCCATTGTTGCCATCAACTCCTGGCTCCCAGGTCAGTGAGTGTCTGCTGAAGGTGGGGTCATTAAACTGTTAACACAGACTCCATTGTTGCCATCAACTCCTGGCTCCCAGGTCAGTGAGTGTCTGCTGAAGGTGGGGTCATTAAACTGTTAACACAGACTCCATTGTTGCCATCAACTCCTGGCTCCCAGGTCAGTGAGTGTCTGCTGAAGGTGGGGTCATTAAACTGTTAACACAGACTCCATTGTTGCCATCAACTCCTGGCTCCCAGGTCAACGAGTGTCTGCTGAAGGTGGGGTCATTAAACTGTTAACACAGACTCCATTGTTGCCATCAACTCCTGGCTCCCAGGTCAGTGAGTGTCTGCTGAAGGTGGGGTCATTAAACTGTTAACACAGACTCCATTGTTGCCATCAACTCCTGGCTCCCAGGTCAGTGAGTGTCTGCTGAAGGTGGGGTCATTAAACTGTTAACACAGACTCCATTGTTGCCATCAACTCCTGGCTCCCAGGTCAGTGAGTGTCTGCTGAAGGTGGGGTCATTAAACTGTTAACACAGACTCCATTGTTGCCATCAACTCCTGGCTCCCAGGTCAGTGAGTGTCTGCTGAAGGTGGGGTCATTAAACTGTTAACACAGACTCCATTGTTGCCATCAACTCCTGGCTCCCAGGTCAACGAGTGTCTGCAAGAGGTGAAAATTACTATTGTTACGTTTTTATTTCTGCCTCTGATTACACCAAGTTACAGTAGGGTATTCCTGTGTGTATGACTAACTACAGTTAGTAACGCTTGTAGCACATTTTCTGTCTTGTGCAAATGTCAACACTTACAGTTATGTTTTAACAATAACAATATTCACCTTTTGTAGCACATGGGTCTGCTTTTCAAGCTGGGAGAAGAAAAGATGGGTGTGGCCAACATGCTGATAGAACATCTTTACCCACATCTCGTCTCAGATGATCATGGCATACAGATTGCCAACAATTTCCGCTCCATCCTAGCAGATGCATGTATGTTTGGTGGCATGCACCACAGAACTGACAGGTGAGGTTGTAGTACATGTCTTAATGACAGGTGAGGCTGTAGTACATGTCTTAATGACAGGTGAGGCTGTAGTACATGTCTTAATGACAGGTGAGGCTGTAGTACATGTCTTAATGACAGGCGTGGCTGTAATAAATGTCTTAGTGACAGGTGAGGCTGTAGTACATGTCTTAGTGACAGGTGAGGCTGTAGTACATGTCTTAATGACAGGCGTGGCTGTAATAAATGTCTTAATGACAATTGTGAGGCTGTAGTACATGTCTTAATGACAGGTGAGGCTGAAATAAATGTCTTAATGACAGGTGAGGCTGAAATAAATGTCTTAATGACAGGCGAGGCTGTAATAAATGTCTTAATGACAGGTGAGGCTGTAGTACATGTCTTAATGAGAGGTGAGACTGTAGTACATGTCTTAATGACAGGTGAGGCTGTAATAAATGTAATAATGACAGGTGAGGCTGTAGTACATGTCTTAATGACAGGTGAGGCTGTAGTACATGTCTTAATGACAGGTGAGGCTGTAGTACATGTCTTAGTGACAGGTGAGGCTGTAGTACATGTCTTAATGACAGGTGAGGCTGTAGTACATGTCTTAGTGACAGGTGAGGCTGTAGTACATGTCTTAGTGACAGGTGAGGCTGTAGTACATGTCTTAGTGACAGGTGAGGCTGTAGTACATGTCTTAGTGACAGGTGAGGCTGTAGTACATGTCTTAGTGACAATTGTGAGGCTGTAGTACATGTCTTAATGACAGGTGAGGCTGAAATAAATGTCTTAATGACAGGTGAGGCTGTAGTACATGTCTTAATGACAGGCGAGGCTGTAATAAATGTCTTAATGACAGGTGAGGCTGTAGTACATGTCTTAATGAGAGGTGAGACTGTAGTACATGTCTTAATGACAGGTGAGGCTGTAATAAATGTAATAATGACAGGTGAGGCTGTAGTACATGTCTTAATGACAGGTGAGGCTGTAGTACATGTCTTAGTGACAGGTGAGGCTGTAGTACATGTCTTAATGACAGGTGAGGCTGCAGTACATGTCTTAGTGACAGGTGAGGCTGTAGTACATGTCTTAGTGACAGGTGAGGCTGTAGTACATGTCTTAGTGACAGGTGAGGCTGTAGTACATGTCTTAATGACAGGTGAGGCTGTAGTACATGTCTTAGTGACAATTGTGAGGCTGTAGTACATGTCTTAATGACAGGTGAGGCTGAAATAAATGTCTTAATGACAGGTGAGGCTGTAGTACATGTCTTAATGACAGGTGAGGCTGTAGTACATGTCTTAATGACAGGTGAGGCTGAAATAAATGTCTTAATGACAGGTGAGGCTGTAGTACATGTCTTAGTGACAATTTTGAGGCTGTAGTACATGTCTTAGTGACAGGTGAGGCTGTAGTACATATCTTAGTGACAGGTGAGGCTGTAGTACATGTCTTAGTGACAATTGTGAGGCTGTAGTACATGTCTTAGTGACAGGTGAGGCTGTAGTACATGTCTTAGTGACAATTGTGAGGCTTTAGTACATGTCTTAATGACAGGTGAGGCTGTAGTACATGTCTTAGTGACAGGTGAGGCTGTAGTACATGTCTTAATGACAGGTGAGGCTGTAGTACATGTCTTAGTGACAGGTGAGGCTGTAGTACATGTCTTAGTGACAGGTAAGGCTGTAGTACATGTCTTAGTGACAGGTAACTTTGTATGATTCCTGACCAAGACATTGTCACTTTTTTTACCTTTTTTCAGACTAATTTTGGATGTGACATACTACATTGAGAACCAGGGCAAGATGTTGTCAGTGAATGATGTTATGCCAAGGTATGTTGTTCAGTCATGTGTAGTGAAGACTCCTGTCTGCACCCTGCAGATATTACCCATGCCCAGCATAACGTGTCAAATTAACTGCAGACTCAGAATGTAACATGAACTGACTGGCTGTTATTTTCTGTATTTCCAAGCTCGTGCATCATGAATCCATGCTCTACCTACTGGTCTACTGACTCAATCTCTCTTTTGTTCAGATTCTCAAAGGGTGATGGCATTGTTCGTGTATTTGCCATCAATTTTCTGTCACACCTAGACCCAAATGAAGCATCTCATGCAGACTTTGCCCAGGCATTGACCCTTGACCTCTGTGCCCGGCATGATGCACTCATGGAGTTGGCTGAGTACCGTCAATTCAACAACTCACTCTGTCACAGACAGAAGAACAGGATCTTTCAGGCAATTTGTGTACTGGAACCATTCATAAAAGAGGTCAGTTCTTTTTTCAAAATATGCCAAGAATATGGTAAGAAAATGTATACTCATACTTCAGGATGAAATTAAACATCCCTGTTAGGGGAAGCTGCTTGATGTGTTGAATCAGAACTCTCCCCAGGCTTATGACATATGGTAGTCTTCATACTTGATGTTCCTCTTATATATCCTTGGGGAGTGATTTTTGACATGTGATTGAATGCAACTATGCACAGTCATCAACATTCTTATTTAAGAAGGGGATTTGATGAACGTAAGAATACATGATCTCTAAGGTGGGGGTCTTGATTGTATGAAATTTTGGGTGACCCCCGTATAAGGTCAAGATCACTAGAGGATTGTTTTACATTGAAGGTAAGGTGTGTCACTGTGGGTGTGGCATTTTGAAAGTTTGTGTACATGATAACTTGAGTATTTATGAATGAAAATTGATGAAACATTGTAAACATCATCTCTAAGGTGGGGGGGCATGATTGTGTCAACAACAAAAAAAGTTTCAGATTAATTCATGAAAAATAGAAGGTTTTTGCAATCAGCTTTAATAAACTCGTAAAAGGTGACTATGCTTGTCATAAAAGGCGACTAACGGGATCAGGTGGTCAGGCTCGCTGACTTGGTTGATGGATGTCATCGATCCCAATTGCGTGGATGGATGCTCATAATATCAATCACTGAATTGTCTGGTCCAGACTCGATTATTTATACAGACCGCCGTCATATAGCTGGAATATTGCTGAGTGCGGCGTTAAACAACAAACCAACCATCTTAGCACAAAAATATCGGATATGACAAATATAAATGACCACTCACAATAGTCCAGGCCCTTAGGGGGATATCGTGCAGATGTGTCTACAAGCACCAGTCCCTACTTGGATTTTGTCCAAACTTCATTTCCAAAAGTCATAGGATTATAGGTTTTTGACCTCAAGGATTCCAAATCTGAGCCTTGTTTTGACATAGAAGTGCGTTTTGGACAATTAAGTGTTTGAAAACATATTTTAATCAAATCAACTTTATTTTTATGGTCATTTTACATCACAGAACAGTTCATAACTGAGAAAAACATAAAATATATAAAAAAAACATTACAAACTTAAAGATCTCTAGTGTAGGTTAAACATCACTGTGGCAAGGTTTAATCTAATTGATCGAGGCATCCACACATCCACCTTCATATTTGCATAACCCCATGCAGCAGACTCCAGCTCTACTGTATTTACAGTTTCCGGTGCAATACATTTCGCAACAGCAAAGCAAAAGGAAGGAACATGACTTACTGGTATCCTCGAGAGTTGTCCAAAATGGTAACCAGTTACCACCGTCTTCCTTTGCCACCCCCATTCACTAAAGTTAGGGATTTCCTGGCGAACTGAGGCTGCTTGATTCCAGTAAAAGCTTGCCTGAAGCAGTGCCCTTTTATGTGTTCAAACAAGGCTGCCTGAGTGGGTGGTGTATTCTCAGTTGCAAAACGACGATGTCTGGCTTCGTTGACTTCAACCAAACCACATCCCTTACTTAACATGATAACTACAATCGTTCCAGCTTCTGCATGTGAAGAGACTCAAGGCTGAACAGTTCTGGTTGATTGGTTAGTCACCAGTGTTTCAGTGAGTCCTGGTGTGTTTTGTCAAGATGCCTAATCAGTCTTCTTGCCAAACCCAAGGAGCTGTGATGTCGAATGGAAAAGCTACCATGTCAGAGACCACGAAGGTCCAAGATAGGAACAGATATCATAAATTGGTATATCGCGAATTTTATTCCTGCTACCGAAACACAACCACAGCTCTGAGGGACCAAGTGTAGAGAAGAAGCGTATGGCAAGGACCGCCACGTCACTATCAACAATACGAACATAAGCTGTCTGGTGGCCCTGTGCTACAGCATGTGCCAGATGAAGGAATATCTTGACAAGCTCCTCACTGAGGAAAGCGAATAACTCCTTTTTGTTATCCTCGTTTTTGAGAAATCCACTGTTCCAGTCATGCTTTGGGATTCGTGTGTGGCCATCCCCAATCATAGTCCATGGGTTGTTTCCTGGGTAGCTATCCCATATGGCATATATATACATGCAACTGTTGCGGTTATCTGAGACTCCAGGAATGACACAATGTGTTGTGTAACATACTCAGCAAAGCTATTTGCTGATGTGGGCCGCACCATATGAACAAAACTTGCCATATCCAACACAACAACTGTGGCTAACTTTCCTGGATGTGCTCGACCAATTGGCGATTTGATGCATTCCAGAATATCAGACTTGTTGCCGAATCCAAGTGAACCACGATCTAACTTGGTGGTTCCCATTGATTTTCAAAACGAAAAAACTCTTCCATATCCACATCTGGTTGTAATTGTAGTGAAAGGTAGAGTGTTGTCATTAGAGTCATATTTTTCTATCAGATCAGGACAATTGGCGAATGTCAAGATTATATTACGCCGGATAGTTTTTGACACTGGCACTGTCACCTTGTAGAGTGTCTGTGAAATGTATTGTGCATGAAGGTCCCCTCCAACTTTATGAACCCTAGAGAGAGATGTGACGACTTCCTGTTTCATAATGATGTATGTGTGCATGTAGACTCTTATTGGACTGTTCATGTGACTGATCCTTGCTCTTTTAACCATGTTGAATGTGGCTGCCTGGTATTGTGACAGGGACCTTCTTGTTCTTCCATTAGTGTTTGGTACATCTGTCTAAGCGCAGATAGCTTATATACAGAGGCTGAATCCTCAACAAGGGATACTTTGCTATTTGTGCTGTAGCAATTGGATGAAACTCAGGCAATATCACACAATTTACAATTATTTCATCACCACCACCATGTCAGTCTTTACCACCACGACTACTATTCTCGCCAAATCAGCCAAAAACAACTACAGAGACGGAAAAATATGAATAAATTCATTTGACAAGTTGTAGGCCACCTACGTGTGATAAATGCAAAATTAGTCATGACCACCTATATGTATATCAGCATTTCTTGAAGAAGAAAGAAATACATCCAAGGTAGTATATGTAACCTTTGTGTGTTCAGTAATATAAACCATCTACCACCAGCAGTGCATTATACTCATTTGCAGACCAGAAAATAACATTATTGTGTCACATCCAAATTAAACCTGTACCTGCAAGTTTTTGCCCATAATTATGCCCCTTGGAATACTCTGACAACTAAATTGGACAAAGGGTATTTTGTTTGTCAAAATAAAGCTCAGATTTGGAATCCTTGAGGTCAAAAACCTACAAAAAGCGCCTTCATTCATGACAGTATGACTTTTGGTTACTAAGTTAGGATAAAATAAAAAAGGGACTGGACCCGTGAAGATTCCGGGGTAGAATAGGTCTTCAGCAACCCATTCTTGCCGTAAAAGGCGACTATGCTTGTCGTAAAAGGCGACTAATGGGATCGGTTGGTCAGGCTCGCTGACTTGGTTGAAACATGTCATCGATCCCAATTGCGTGGATCGATGTTCATGATGTCAATCACTGGATAGTCTGGTCCAGACTCGATTATTTTACAGACCGCCGTCATATAGCTGGAATAATGCTGAGTGCGGCGTTAAACAACAAACAAACAAACAAACAAAAAGGGACTGGCGGTCATCTTGGATTTTGCCAAATGGCGGCTCCAATGATCACCGGCTTTGGCGCCCTCCAAAAATAAATTAAGTATATTCTGGTCTACAGATGTGCCAAATTTGATGCTTGTAGACACATCTGCACGATACCCACTAACGGCTCCCTAAGGGCCTGGACTACAAGGTATGGACAGAGTTACCTCCCTTATACCATAGGGACCTAATCACAGAACATTTATGAAACACTGTTTAAAATAAAAATAACAAGTCATTTCGCTAGCAATTTTGATTAAGTCTCAATACCTATCATATGTCATGATTGTGTCAAATGTCACGGCTGGTTTAAATGAACAACACTAGAATAATGCTAAATAAACCTAAGGGATAATGCTAACATACAACTAATGTTTAGTAACAAATATTATTCATGAAAATAGTGGCAGTGCAAATTGTAAGCAGACGCATGCGATTGGAGGTGGGTATGGGGCTACAGCATGATATGATTATAGCACCAGCAACCCAAGAGAAAAAAACACTGAACACACAACCTACAACACCGAATGTTTGCAGAACTACCGTAGTTCCTTGAGTATAGTGCGCACTTTTTTTCCAAAAAGCACAGCTGTGTAGAAGAGGGTGCGCATTATACACGAATTAATGAGTTTTGAGGTTTTTCCCCCCATGGAAAGACATTACTGTGAGCATGTAACACCGGAAATACCATGTCAACAAATCCATACTGAAGTTCGCAAATTATTCATGTAATTACACTGTCTGGCTATAAAAAGTGTTCTTTGTATATCTGGACTTATGTTTGTAACTTATTTCATTAAGTTTATTCAAAATTTCTTTTAATATTGTTTTAATTAATTTCGGCACAAGATCGCACAACTTACCGTTATTAACAGCAACCACGGTTAGATTACGGCTATTGACGCCTTGAAACGAACTTTAGTTGACAGAGAATGGATACATATATCATAAATGCCATACTTTGATTCGTTAAAAGTCATATTTGTTTTTGTTGGACGATTCTATGTCAACACGTAATTCTAGCGATCACGCGATCACGTGCACGGTGACTGGTCAGACTGGTTCCATGTAAAAAATAATAGCCGGCAATAGCGATCAGCTGCTTCGCTTAGGGTTATTATTATTGTAAATATGTTTAGTAAAAGCTGCATTTAAATGAACAAGATATTGGAATATATTATTCCTGATAACAAAATAGTTTCAGATACAACTTTTGCCGATCCTTTCATTAAAATACTGCAAAGTTATATCATTGGGTGTGTCTTGACCGAATCACCGGTAGATTCCAAGAAAACGTGTCTACAGCTGATTGCTGTGTCTGGCTTAGTTTACGAGAAAATACACAAGGTAATCTTAATCCCTGGATATAAAACAATGCCTAGCTGAACAAAATATACAATTTAAACGGTAAATCAACATGTCTGGCGATTTTTTTATCTCAAATTTCGAATTTGTACTGACGAAGTTTCTCATCATCCGTTCGTTTGCCGGACTTCGCTGAAGGGGTACGGTGTAATTTTTTTCTGCGCATAATATTCAAATATTCAAATAATAAACAAATAAACCACACGTAATCCAACACAACATACCTAACAGTTTATTTAGTTACATAGTTTAGTTTTACTAACTACTAATAGGTTGCCTCAGCACATCATTCATTCACACACACAGACAGATACTGGCTGTTACTGATGCAAAAAACTAATACTAAATCTAAATATAATAAGAGTTGAGGTGAGATAGGCTGTAATGTCACGTTCAAGATTATTGCACTTATTTAGCGACACTAGAAGAACACTAAGAGATTAAGTGTGATAATAAATATGGGAACTAACTAAGGAATACTAAGAAAGTACTAAGTTGGACCGCTCCAGTTGAAACTAAACACATGTTAAATGTATTAGACATCACACAAGCAGTAGATACAAGTAATCGGAGTAACATCACACATGTGGAGGGGATGAAAACACATTATTGTTGATTTCAAGATGTCAATTACTTGAGCCTGCAGCACAATCTTCATAGAGTTTGTACACAGTACATGTTATTAGCTGAAAAGACAGCAATAGTCATCTTATATCTTATTAACATATATCACATATCTTATTAAATAGTCAAATGTCACACATATCTACCAACGCACAGGCACATCACATGTTGGCACAATCCGGGGAGTGATCGTGGGTGTCCACGTAATGGCACTTGGTGGCGGTAGCAACGTCTATCTTGTTCCTCACTGTAGGCTCCACTGTAACTGTGCTTGTGTTGGCCGATAGTAGAGTAGGCAATATACCCACCCAAAAAATCGCCAACAGCTGTGGGGTTGAGGCTGATGACGTTTATTATGAATTGTATTGACAAATGAACATAAGTCAGCCGGGAACAATGAAATAACAACATAAGCAAATGTGAAATAGAATCTAATAAATATGTACATTCTGTTACAGGTACACATTGAATTTATAAAATATAGATATCACTTTCCTTGATAAATATAAGTTCTTTACATCATCTAGTACTGCACGTATTTGTACAATACATTGATCTACACAGATACAAAATATATTAATATAAGATTATGATAATAAAGTGATAATGAACATGCTGTATGTAACTTTAGAAAGTATTACAAATCATGGAATATAGACTATTTATACAATATCTAAGATGACATTACATACAAGATAGGTGAAACCTGTACTGGTAATACCGGTAACCATGTGTACACAGCGAACGTTGCCACTGACAGCCACTGACAAATCTGCATAAGAAAGAAATAGATATGCAGAATACTTTATATATGTATAAGTGATATCCTATGGTAAAATAATGTATACAAATATATAGTACAACAGCCACTCATATCAGACATACAACACTCATACACCTACACTTACCAAGATATATCAACCAATCATATCAAGCATACAGTAGAACACGCATATAACGAACATGGATAGAGCGAACAAACGGATACAACAAACTGTTTAAAAATCCCCACTTTATCTCCAACATGATATCATATAAAATTTACATATATAACGAACTCTCTACAGCGAACTGATATCTGATCACCGACAAGCCCATCTATCACTAATTAGTGACGTGTATAGCGAACTGAGAAATCTCACTCAGTGTCAAGTGTCACTGACATCTGGCTGTACGCAATCAGCAGTGAATCAACACAATCGCGGCGAATCAACACAATCAGTGGAGGCGGATCAACCTTGTTATACTTAAATAAATGTTATGAAATGTTATCAATTGAATGCTATGAAGTGATCACTGCTAATACAAGTCAATGCTGCAATTACATGTTTTGGGGTTTTGATTTATCCAAGATGGTGGACTTTTCCGAGCAAAAACGTAAATGATGAAGAACGGATATAACGAACTGATTTCTCTAAAGTATATAACATGAATAATAATAACTGTGGCAGTTTGTCTGGAAATGCCTGGTGTGTGAGGCTCCCACATTACCTGTGTGGTTGTGTTGCAGGGAGACAGTCTCCAGGCACTGTGGCAGTTTGTCTGGAAATGCCTGGTGTGTGAGGCTCCCACATTACCTGTGTGGTTGTGTTGCAGGGAGACAGTCTCCAGGCACTGTGGCAGTTTGTCTGGAAATGCCTGGTGAATGAGGCTCATGCATCAGTTCGACACATGCAGGAATGGGTTTTGATGCGGTTGGTGCTCAGGTTTCCCGACATGGTTGGACGAATGTGGGAGCACTTCAATCAGGTAACGGGACCCTGAAGACTTACTGCTTGATGCGATACAGTTTCAAATAGAAAGTCTTTGGAAAAGTGAGGTAAATTGTAATAGCTGATGTGTTGTGAGTAGATATTGAAGTAACGTAATATCAAGCAGTAAAGTGCTTCCTTTTGATATTTATTCAGCTCTCCATTTCCGTTTTGTTTCACATACCTGGTATTTCACTGTCTTGAATTGTATGTCACAAATGTTCATATTTTCAACATTCCTCTCAGCTAGACGTTTGTGTACCGTTATGTCCTCCCATCTATTGTGTCTCGAAATTTACTCACAGAATACTTAGCTGATTTTAGAAGCTGGCTGTCATGGCAGTTGTATTGAAAATGTCATTTGACCCATTACTCAGCCGTTTCTGCATGTATCAATGTTATTCTTGTTCACCGTTTTATTATGCTCCATTCCCCGAAACTTGACCCACAGAGCCTTATTATCCTACTTTGTGACGTTAACATGACCCATGGCTAAATGATCACTATTTACCTGGATAACATAAGGACTTGCAACAACATAGCTCAGTTGGATTGAGCTAAGTATTTAATTCATCCTGCACTACATATTGCAATCTCTTTCTTTTCAGCCAAAAAAAAGACTTACCAAGTTTATCCAGTTCAAGAACTGTTTCTGACTACAGTTGAAACAACTCTCCCAAATCCAACTTCAGGATGTCACATGATCAAACCTTAGTGATGTCACTCTCTTCTGTATGTCTTGAGTAAGGACATGATTGGAATTGTTCACTGTCATTATCCACAAGCATCCTTGTTTATGTGATATACTATGTTCCAATGACGCATGTACCTGTTTACTGGGTTGGTTCCTCCAACTTTTCCCATATTTTTTGTGTTTTTAATGAATATTTGTATATAATTCCTGCAAATGCATTTACTCTATTACATCAAAGCCTCAAATCTTGTATTTTGACTGCCATTTCACTATAAAATCTTTAAGATTTTCAATGACGCCTAGTTCACAGGTGCTATGCTCAAACTTGTTGTTAGGTAGACCATCTCTCTGTGTTCAGTGCTTCTGTGCATGCACAAGGCGGGAAAACATCACTTCTTTCCTGTGTGTGCTTGAGACAACATTGAACATTTTTCTAGCACACATTTTGGGGTAGTGTTATCACACTGTAGTTTTGTTGTAACAGATTATAGCTAAGTAGTGCCTATCTGGTTGTTTTGTGTTGTGGACACTCCCTCTTCATCAGCGTCCACCTTCTGCTCAGGGTTCAGCAAGTTCCAGATTGCTGGGGACACCCGTCTTATTTGTTGCCAGTGCAGAGAAGACCTGTGCGTGTTGAAGAAGAGATGCTTTCTGTGCATCTCCCTGTCCGATGTTTTGCTCTCCCAATTATCCGAAGCATGGAAACAGTCGTTGAAGAAAACAGAAGTTAATGAGACTGAGAAAGAAGAGTCGGCTAATTTGTTGTCATTGTCGAGGAAGAGTGTTTCCAAGGGCTTGTCGTCTACTTCTTGAAGACAAAAGAAAGAAATGAAAGTAAAAAGAATGCCTCAGCAAACCCTGACGATCTCCTTCAGCATGCTTGAGCAGCTTGTGAGGTCAGACAAGCCATGACAGCTCTGAGGGATATAAAGTGCCCGTCTACACTCACATATCTTTTGGTGGTGCTGAAGGAAACTCTGGTGTCGCATGATGAGGTTGAGAAACTTCTGACCATCGGCACTGTGGAAGATGATGGGATGCTGGGTAAAAGATGGGATATCAAACCATTGATCCCTCAGAAGACTTGCACATTGCTGGGACGATGACTTCTGCAGGGAAAGCAGCTCAAGCAATTAGACGCCACCTGGAGAGTAGTGGTGCACCAGGTTGCTAACCTGAGGCGCAGACGTCAAGTGCCTCCCAGACACACTTTTCCAGCGTTCTTTCCCCTCCATGAGATGATGGGTTAATGCATAGGGGAAATGACTTTATGCTAGGTCCAAACTCCTACATTATTGTCCAGTAAGCTCACAAGTAGCCTATGTTCTCCTGGTGAGAGTATCATAATAGAATGGAGAACAGACAGATGGGTCCACCCTGCTGACAAGTAATACCTTCTCCAATCAGTTATTCAAGAAACCAGAGTGATGGCACTAGGGCTTTGTCATGTGTCATCCGATTGTTGCCTTTGGGAGAGCTGTTTCATCTGTTGTCAGGAACTGTTCTTGAACCGTAGAGACTTGGCAAAGCTTGTTTCAGCTGAGATTGCAATATGTAATGCAGGATAAGTATTAAATATAAAATATATTAGATATAAATGATTTTGAAAACCTATATTTCAACTTTTTTGTTCCAATTATAATTCACTTATATTTTAGGGAAAATATATTAATTCATTATAAAGAAAAGTCTTGAATTACAGATGTATAATAATGTTGATGTGTTTGTAGTTCAACGACAAGAGGAACCTCAGTCTATGTTCTTTAATGCACGTTCTGTCTCGGTGTGGACCTCACCTTCCCAAAGACTTGCAGGTAGGTTTCACTACTTGTTTTTTGAAGAAAAATAAACATGCCATCAATTATTTTCTGGTAATAAATATTGATTGGAAAATGTGCATTTAATATAACCACCATGCCCTGTGTGGCAGAACGATTTCTATGGCCAGGCCCTGCCGCTCCTGTTGCCGTGGTGTATGGCCCATCACTTCAACACCCGCGTCCATGCCCAGGCCAGTCTCACCACGCTCTGGAACCAGTGTCACAAGCTCAACCTAAACAACCTCATAAGCCACCATTCCATCATCAACAGCATCGTCACTTTCCAGGAAAACAACAAGTGAGGGTTCCGTTATATAAGAATCACTGTCTGACTATCAACAACCAACCAGTGTCTGTCCCCTCCCTGGTCACCAGTGTCTGACTGTATACAGACAACCAGTTTCTGTCCCCTCCCTGGTCACCAGTGTCTGGCTTTAAACAGACAACCAGTGTCTGTCCCCTCCCTGGTCACCAGTGTCTGACTGTATACAGACAACCAGTGTCTGTCCCCTCCCTGGTCACCAGTGTCTGGCTGTATACAGACAACCAGTGACCGTCCCCTCCCTTGTCACCAGTGTCTGGCTTTAAACAGACAACCAGTGTCTGTCCCCTCCCTGGTCACCAGTGTCTGACTGTATACAGACAACCAGTGTCTGTCCCCTCCCTTGTCACCAGTGTCTGGCTTTAAACAGACAACCAGTGACTGTCCATTGCCTTGTCACCAGTGTCTGACTGTATACAGACAATCAGTGACTGTCCCCTCCCTGGTCACCAGTGTCTGACTGTATACAGACAACCAGTGTCTGTCCATTCCCTGGTCACTAGTGTCTGACTGTATACAGACAACCAGTGTCTGTCCCCTCCCTGGTCACCAGTGTCTGTCCCCACCCTGGTCACCAGTGTCTGGCTTTAAACAGACAACCAGTGTCTGTCCCCTCCCTGGTCACCAGTGTCTGACTGTATACAGACAACCAGTGTCTGTCCCTCCCTGGTCACCAGTGTCTGGCTGTATACAGACAACCAGTGTCTGTCCCCTCCCTTGTCACCAGTGTCTGACTGTATACAGACAACCAGTGCCTGTCCCCTCCCTGGTCACCAGTGTCTGGCTGTATACAGACAACCAGTGACCGTCCCCTCCCTGGTCACCAGTGTCTGACTGTATACAGACAACCAGTGTCTGTCCCTCCCTGGTCATCAGTGTCTGTCCCCTCCCTGGTCACCAGTGTCTGACTGTATACAGACAACCAGTTACTGTCCCTCCCTGGTCATCAGTGTCTGTCCCCTCCCTGGTCACCAGTGTCTGGCTGTATACAGACAACCAGTGTCTGTCCCCTCCCTTGTCACCAGTGTCTGACTGTATACAGACAACCAGTGTCTGTCCCCTCCCTGGTCACCAGTGTCTGGCTGTATACAGACAACCAGTGACCGTCCCCTCCCTGGTCACCAGTGTCTGACTGTATACAGACAACCAGTGTCTGTCCCTCCCTGGTCATCAGTGTCTGTCCCCTCCCTGGTCACCAGTGTCTGACTGTATACAGACAACCAGTGTCTGTCCCTCCCTGGTCATCAGTGTCTGTCCCCTCCCTGGTCACCAGTGTCTGGCTGTATACAGACAACCAGTGACTGTCCCTCCCTGGTCACCAGTGTCTGACTGTATACAGACAACCAGTGTCTGTCCCCTCCCTTGTCACCAGTGTCTGGCTTTAAACAGACAACCAGTGACTGTCCATTGCCTTGTCACCAGTGTCTGACTGTATACAGACAACCAGTGACTGTCCCCTCCCTGGTCACCAGTGTCTGGCTGTATACAGACAACCAGTGTCTGTCCCCTCCCTGGTCACCAGTGTCTGACTGTATACAGACAACCAGTGACCGTCCCCTCCCTGGTCACCAGTGTCTGGCTGTATACAGACAACCAGTGTCTGTCTTCTCCCTGGTCTCCAGTGTCTGACTGTATACAGACAACCAGTGCCTGTCCCCTCCCTGGTCACCAGTGTCTGACTGTATACAGACAACCAGTGCCTGTCCCCTCCCTGGTCACCAGTGTCTGGCTGTATACAGACAACCAGTGCCTGTCCCCTCCCTGGTCACTAGTGTCTGACTGTATACAGACAACCAGTGCCTGTCCCCTCCCTGGTCACCAGTGTCTGACTGTATACAGACAACCAGTGCCTGTCCCCTCCCTGGTCACCAGTGTCTGACTGTATACAGACAACCAGTGTCTGTCCCCTCCCTGGTCACCAGTGTCTGACTGTATACAGACAACCAGTGTCTGTCCCCTCCCTTGTCACCAGTGTCTGGCTTTAAACAGACAACCAGTGTCTGTCCCCTCCCTGGTCACCAGTGTCTGACTGTATACAGACAACCAGTGTCTGTCCCCTCCCTTGTCACCAGTGTCTGGCTTTAAACAGACAACCAGTGTCTGTCCCCTCCCTGGTCACCAGTGTCTGACTGTATACAGACAACCAGTGTCTGTCCCTCCCTGGTCACTAGTGTCTGGCTGTATACAGACAACCAGTGTCTGTCCCCTCCCTGGTCACCAGTGTCTGACTGTATACAGACAACCAGTGTCTGTCCCCTCCCTGGTCACCAGTGTCTGGCTGTATACAGACAACCAGTGTCTGTCCCCTCCCTTGTCACCAGTGTCTGGCTTTAAACAGACAACCAGTGACTGTCCATTGCCTTGTCACCAGTGTCTGACTGTATACAGACAATCAGTGACTGTCCCCTCCCTTGTCACCAGTGTCTGACTGTATACAGACAACCAGTGTCTGTCCATTCCCTGGTCACTAGTGTCTGACTGTATACAGACAACCAGTGTCTGTCCCCTCCCTGGTCACCAGTGTCTGGCTGTATACAGACAACCAGTGACCGTCCCCTCCCTGGTCACCAGTGTCTGACTGTATACAGACAACCAGTGTCTGTCCCTCCCTGGTCATCAGTGTCTGTCCCCTCCCTGGTCACCAGTGTCTGACTGTATACAGACAACCAGTGACTGTCCCTCCCTGGTCACCAGTGTCTGACTGTATACAGACAACCAGTGTCTGTCCCCTCCCTTGTCACCAGTGTCTGGCTTTAAACAGACAACCAGTGACTGTCCATTGCCTTGTTACCAGTGTCTGACTGTATACAGACAACCAGTGACTGTCCCCTCCCTGGTCACCAGTGTCTGGCTGTATACAGACAACCAGTGTCTGTCTTCTCCCTGGTCTCCAGTGTCTGACTGTATACAGACAACCAGTGCCTGTCCCCTCCCTGGTCACCAGTGTCTGACTGTATACAGACAACCAGTGCCTGTCCCCTCCCTGGTCACCAGTGTCTGGCTGTATACAGACAACCAGTGCCTGTCCCCTCCCTGGTCACTAGTGTCTGACTGTATACAGACAACCAGTGCCTGTCCCCTCCCTGGTCACCAGTGTCTGACTGTATACAGACAACCAGTGACCGTCCCCTCCCTGGTCACCAGTGTCTGGCTGTATACAGACAACCAGTGTCTGTCTTCTCCCTGGTCTCCAGTGTCTGACTGTATACAGACAACCAGTGCCTGTCCCCTCCCTGGTCACCAGTGTCTGACTGTATACAGACAACCAGTGCCTGTCCCCTCCCTGGTCACCAGTGTCTGGCTGTATACAGACAACCAGTGCCTGTCCCCTCCCTGGTCACTAGTGTCTGACTGTATACAGACAACCAGTGCCTGTCCCCTCCCTGGTCACCAGTGTCTGACTGTATACAGACAACCAGTGTCTGTCCCCTCCCTGGTCACCAGTGTCTGACTGTATACAGACAACCAGTGTCTGTCCCCTCCCTTGTCACCAGTGTCTGGCTTTAAACAGACAACCAGTGTCTGTCCCCTCCCTGGTCACCAGTGTCTGACTGTATACAGACAACCAGTGTCTGTCCCCTCCCTTGTCACCAGTGTCTGGCTTTAAACAGACAACCAGTGTCTGTCCCCTCCCTGGTCACCAATGTCTGACTGTATACAGACAACCAGTGTCTGTCCCTCCCAGGTCACTAGTGTCTGGCTGTATACAGACAACCAGTGTCTGTCCCCTCCCTGGTCACCAGTGTCTGACTGTATACAGACAACCAGTGTCTGTCCCCTCCCTGGTCACCAGTGTCTGGCTGTATACAGACAACCAGTGTCTGTCCCCTCCCTTGTCACCAGTGTCTGGCTTTAAACAGACAACCAGTGACTGTCCATTGCCTTGTCACCAGTGTCTGACTGTATACAGACAACCAGTGACTGTCCCCCTCCCTGGTCACCAGTGTCTGACTGTATACAGACAACCAGTGTCTGTCCCCTCCCTTGTCACCAGTGTCTGGCTTTAAACAGACAACCAGTGACTGTCCATTGCCTTGTCACCAGTGTCTGACTGTATACAGACAACCAGTGTCTGTCCATTCCCTGGTCACTAGTGTCTGACTGTATACAGACAACCAGTGTCTGTCCCCTCCCTGGTCACCAGTGTCTGGCTGTATACAGACAACCAGTGACCGTCCCCTCCCTGGTCACCAGTGTCTGACTGTATACAGACAACCAGTGACTGTCCCCTCCCTGGTCACTAGTGTCTGACTGTATACAGACAACCAGTGTCTGTCCATTCCCTGGTCACAAGTGTCTGGTTGTATACAGACAACCAGTGACTGTCCATTCCCTGGTCACCAGTGTCTGTCCCCACCCTGGTCACCAGTGTCTGTCTCCTCCGTGGTCACCAGTGTCAGACTGTATACAGACAACCAGTTTATATCCTGATACTGAAGGTTTGCTCCTACAGGAGTTATTTCGTCAATTTCAGCAACTCAACAAAGAACTTGCAGAAGCTAATCGGGAACTATTTCTACCAGACATTTGACTTTGTGGAGGACTACAGCATGGAGGTAAGTGACTGCCTGTACTGAACCTTCAGAATGACATAGCTGTGGAGCAACTTGAATCCTCCTTTGATGTAGGAAACATACAAGGCAGAACATTTCTGTTGCAGACAATATTTCTCACCTTACCAAGGCTGTCTTGCTTAATCGATGAAGAGTGGCTGCGTCCAGATACATTCCATCGCTGGGACATTTTCAAGTCACCTGACTTGCAACGATGTGTGCCCCTGTACAATGCATCTTCCAGACTTAGAGAATGTGTTCCCGGGCCATGGAAGATAAGACCACCTGGTTAGTAAGCATGATGATAGTCCACCAAACACATCAAAGTCATGTTCCAAGTCCTCAACGCTTGCACGTCAAAGTCAGGCTCTGAGTGCACATTCAACAGACACATCATGGTCAGGCTTCGAGCGCACATTCAACAGACACATCATGGTCAGGCACAGAGCGCACATTCAACAGACACATCAAAGTCAGGCTCTGAGTGCACATTCAACAGACACATCAAAGTCAGGCTCCGAGCGCACATTCAACAGACACATCATGGTCAGGCACTGAGCCCACATTCAACAGACAAGTCAAATTCAGGCTCCGAGCGCACATTCAACAGACACATCAAAGTCAGGCTCTGAGTGCACATTCAACAGACACATCATGGTCAGGCTCCGAGCGCACATTCAACAGACACGTCAAATTCAGGCTCCGAGCGCACATTCAACAGACACATCAAAGTCAGGCTCTGAGCTCACATTCAACAGACACGTCAAAGTTGAGCCCCAGGCATACATTCCACACTCACACATAAAGTCAGGCTCCTACACATGAAACACATATCAAAGTCTGGCTCCAAGCACATGCTCAATGCACAAACATGATGTCAGGCTCAATGCACACAAATCCACTTTAAGCTAGATATGACAACACAGTGTACAGGGTTACGCAGCACCAAACTGGTGGTGTCAAGGATACTTCCTTGTGTCAAACTTTGATGCTACCCAGCAACTGTATATGTCAGTTGTAATAACCATCAGTATTGGAAACATTTGCTGACAGTTTTCCTGCAATAGGACAGCTTAAGTAGAGTTTACTTATCCCACACAATATGTTACTTCACCCTTCCATTTTGGCCAGTATCAGACACTGACTGTGCAGATGAAGAGGTGACGGAGGGCAATGTACAGAAGAAGATAATGCCATGGCGTTTGATGACACCAGATGAAGATTCCCACCCAGACAACAAGATGAATTTGAAGAAAGTTCACAAAGCTGGAGGACTTATCCTAGTCACTTCACTTATTGACAAGTTACCCAACTTGGGAGGTGAGTTGATGAGTGCCCTCAGGTGCCTCTAGAGGAATTCCATCCACTTCATGACCATGATATGTCATTAAGACAATATTAATATGCTTTCAGTGCACTTTTAATGTTATCTAGAAAAAAATATTTTCCCAGAAAATAATTATACTTCCGACTGATGAAAAAAACAGAAATTGTCTGCCTAAAAAAACATATCATTGCAAAAAAACAAATCAGGCTCACAATTTTAATTAAATAAATGTCTGGTTTTAGCAGATTTTGCTGAAAAATATGTCCAGTATCCACACAAAATCTCAGCCCCCCCCCCTGAATATCAAATGGCAAATGGTCCATCCCTGAAGATATTTTTGTATCATCATGTATATTTGAGAAAACACTGTAATATTTCACAGGTCTCTGCCGTACAAGTGAGATCTTCGGAGTGTCAGAGTTCATTATTGGGAATCTTTGCTTCATTGAAGACCGGGCCTTCCAGTCACTAAGTGTTACAGCACACAAGTGGATTCCTATCACTGAGGTAGATATATGTCACTGATACCATGGATTGCCCTGAGGGTAGATATAGGTCACTGAGGTACAACTGACTGCCCTGAGGGTAGATATAGGTCGTTGAGGTACCACTGACTGCCCTGAGGGTAGATATAGGTCATCGAGGTACCACTGACTGCCCTGAGGGTAGATATAGGTCATTGAGGTACCACTGACTGCCCTGAGGGTAGATATAGGTCATTGAGGTACCACTGACTGCCCTGAGGGTAGATTTAGGTCATTGAGGTACCACTGACTGCCCTGAGGGTAGATTTAGGTCATTGAGGTACCACTGACTTCCCTGAGGGTAGATATAGGTCACTTAGGTACAACTGACTGACCTCATGATAGATATAGGTCATTGAGGTACCACTGACTGCCCTGAGGGTAGATATAGGCCACTGAGGTACCTCTGACTGCCCCTGAGGGTAGATATAGGTCACTGAGGTACCACTGACTGACCTGGGTGTAGATATAGGTCATTGAGGTACCACTGACTGACCTGATGAAAGATATAGGTCACTGAGGTACCACTGACTGCCCTGAGAGTAGATATAGGTCACTGAGGTACCACTGACTGACCTGGGTGTAGATATAGGTCATTGAGGTACCACTGACTGCCCTGAGGGTAGATATAGGTCATTGAGGTACCACTGACTGCCCTGAGGGTAGATATAGGTCACTGAGGTACAACTGACTGCCCTGAGGGTAGATATAGGTCATTGAGGTACCACTGACTGACCTCATGATAGATATAGGCCACTGAGGTACCACTGACTGACCTCATGATAGATATAGGCCACTGAGGTACCTCTGACTGCCCCTGAGGGTAGATATAGGTCACTGAGGTACCACTGACTGCCCTGGGTGTAGATATAGGTCACTGAGGTACCATTGACTGACCTGATGATAGATATAGGTCACTGAGGTACCACTGACTGACCTGATGATAGATATAGGTAACTGAGGTACCACTGACTGCCTTGAGGGTAGATATAGGTCACTGAGGTCACAGTTACTTGGACTGTGAAATGGAGTAAACAGTGTTGAGAACTTTGTCCATGTGCTTTGTCTTGTTGCAGGTGCCTGGCCACAGATTGCAGGAGTTCCTGCAGGCTAAGCGTAGGGACGGGTACACACTAGTTGGCGCAGAGCAGACAGCTAACAGCGTGTGTCTCACACAGTACAAGTTCCCCCAAAAGACCTTACTGCTACTAGGGTAGGTAACATTCCACTTTTAACCATATTGTGAGAATGCTGCACGGATGACAATCAATGTCTAGTTAAGTATATTTGGTATTCAAATGAATAAATCTTCTGTTTGGTAGAAATGAGAAAGAGGGCATTCCAGTCAACCTGATCCAGCTGCTGGATGTCTGTGTGGAGATCCCCCAGCAGGGCATCATCCGCTCTCTCAACGTCCACGTAAGTGGGGCCCTGCTTGTGTGGGAGTATGCCCGGCAGCAGATGGATGCAGCCACGGCAACCTTGTAGCCAGACTACACATGATGTCAGTCAACGTCCACATGAGTGGGGCCCTGCTTGTGTGGGAGTATGCCCGGCAGCAGATGGATGCAGCCACGGCAACCTTGTAGCCAGACTACACATGATGTCAGTCAACGTCCACATGAGTGGGGCCCTGCTTGTGTGGGAGTATGCCCCGGCAGCAGATGGATGCAGCCACGGCAACCTTGTAGCCAGACTACACATTATGTCAGTCAATGTCCACATGAGTGGGGCCCTGCTTGTGTGGGAGTATGGCCGGCAGCAGATGGATGCAGCCACGGCAACCTTGTAGCCAGACTACACATGAAGTCAGTTAATTGATGCCCTGAGTGAGATACAGTGAGGACTACTTCCCTGTCTAGAGGCCCGATGTGTGCAGGTGATGCCCCAGCAATGATATCCTGGACAGAAGTGTTCCTTCTGACAATATGTACTGAATGAGTAGATGCTGGTGTATGCTGCAGCCTGCAGCCTGCAGTTTTATAATTAAATCATGACAACAGTATATTTGACCACAGTCTTGAATGGTGGTGGTATTGTTTTTGTACAAGCACATTTAAAGTTGTATCAATATTTGAAAAAATGGACTACATGTTGCTATTTATGGTTTTCTGAGCTGGTAGGAAGCTAAACTTGCACATGCACAACATAAGCCATCATACAGCCTATCAGATGTGAAACACTTCCAGTTTTCTAACTTGCAATAGCACAGACTGGTGTCCAGAATATTCACAGCACCTGCAGAGTACCTGGTGAAGCCACCAGTTGCATCAACAATTCTCCTGTACATAGCAGAGTGAACCATGCGATGGAGGTAGACCTTGGTGTTGAGGTGCCATGGCATTGTACAATGGCAGCACAATGGTTGACTCATGTGTAGGACCATGGTGAGTCATGATGTTATGATGGTTTAGGATGTGCTGTACAAGTCAAGCATTATGGGGACTGGAGTAGTCTTGCTAAAAGATGTATCATTGGTGTCAAGCAGAAGACTGCAAAATGTGTGATCTGATGACTGATGCTATTGCCTGGGCCAGTATTGTTGATGATGAGTACAACCTGCTGGTTCAGACCAACTGCACCCCATATACTGATGATTGGACCACTCCATGAATCACTCTCGGCAACACAAGCATCACATGCTCCTCCTCCTTACCCTCAGGCAAACACATCATGGGAGGTTTTAACGATGTAAGGGTCAGCATGCACTAGTCGGCAGTTTGTCCCTTGCCTGGTGAGGAGGGGATGCGGGAAATCGGACATACTCATGGAATTCTAAGAAACCCAACTACATGCAGTAGTCTGATAAGGTCAAGAGTAAGATCATCCTGATCACCACTGCACTGGACGAGGTACCTGGTTGTCTTGTAGAATTACCTTTTTAGGAATGTGGCCAGCACTGTTAGAAAGTAAATGCATGTAAACCAGAACAAGCTGCGCATAAGGGAGTGGGGAGTTGAGAGCTTAAGTCTTGATGTGAAGACCTGCAAGAATAAAACGTCCAGGAACCTAAGACGGACTTGTGTTGTTGATATCGGAGAATCTGGCTAAGTAAAAACATCTACGAGGGATACAAGCAAATGTATAATGATGTGTATCACTCTCTCCGTCTCTGTCAAACTGTGCTGTGGAAGTACAATATCAACTCTGATTTAAGACGTTCTCCATTGCAAGTCTGGACCAGACAATCCATTGATTAACATCATAAACATTAATCTATGCAATTGGGATACAATGACATGCTATCAACCAGGTCCAGCCTGATCCACCGATTCATTCAGTCATCTCTTACCACAATTCTATATTGCTGGGGACCTATATTCTTACTCTGAATCCCCAGGTTTTTTTATGTTGCAATGCCAAGTGTCGTCTGTTTTGGTGTAGGTGCTGTCGGAAATAGAAATTTGATATGCATAGACATGATAAACTGAAAAAGTCTATTAACAACCCTTCTGCGTTCTGGACACAAATACGATCTCAAGAATAGATCTACAGATAACATAACAAAATCACAGTGGCTTAGTCATTTTAAGAAGGTTTTTTTAAAATGTTGCAATATTTACTACGACAATTGATGATTAAAATTATTTTAGTGATAGCTACACGGATGTTGAAGTTTTGCTAGATTCACTCATTGTTGAAAACGAAATATTAGAAGCGATAAATCACCTCAAAAAGGGAAAAGCAGCTGGTCCTGATGATGTTGTTATCGAAATGTTGAAGTGTTCCTGATTTGAAGTTATGCCTTTTCTTTGCAGATGTTTCAATAAGTTATTTGAAAATGGAGTTTTCTACAACATTTGGTCTTGTTCTTTAATTATTAAATCCCCCTGCCTAAAAAGGAGACAGGAGTGAGGCTGTATTTTGAGTCCGATCTTATTTTCATTTTTCATTAATGAATTATATTACGAAATAGCTGCCAATGGTAAACGTGGTATCCAAATTTTTCCAGATTTGATAGAAATATTAGTGCTACTTTTCGCAGACGATGTCATTTTAGTGTCAGATACTGTTGTTGGTCTACAAAGGCAAGTGACTATTTTAAGTACATACACGTAAGAATGGAAATTATCAGTAAATTTTGGAAAAACTAAGATTGTGATCTTTAGAAAAGGTGGTCATACGATGGTCAGTCAATATTGTAGATCACTATTCATATTTTGGAATTTGGTTCTCACACACAATGAATTGGAAAATAAAATGTGCCCTTGACTTGTCCTTGCGTGCAAAGAGAGCTTTAATAATTGTAATGTCTATTGCTCACGAAGTTGGAACGATGTTACCTAATATCTTGTTTAAGCTTTTTGATACCCAGACACAACTCTGAAGTATGGGGATTTCAATGTTATGACTGTTTAGAGAAGGTGTACTTATTAGCATGTGAGGTGAGGTGAAATTGGATTTAACGTCGCGTCCAAGATTATTGCACTTATATAGCGACGTGCATGCTCGTGTGGGTGTGTGGCTGCTTGTACTAGTCCGGACTAAAGCCGATTTATAGTGCTAGCTCACTGAGATACCATGCCGCAGTTTAACAAGAATATCCCACTCAGACACAGTATACGGACTCCGAGCCGACCAGTCCTTGTTTTAGCCCCTTTATGCCGAGCGCCAGACAGGGTAACAACAAGTACCATCTTTTAACGTCTTTTGGCATGACGCGGCCGGGGATCGAACCCCGTACCTTCCGCTCTCCGGGCGAACGCTCTACGACTAGACCAAGGAGGCGGTCCCTTATTAGCATGTAGAAAGTTTCTTTGTGTCGGATCTTCTACACCAAATTGTATGGTTTTATTGTGAACGTGGTAGATAGGCATTATATTTTTTCTCTCATATTAGAAGTTTACAATACTGGTTTAAAATCCTCCATATGCTTAGGGGGCCTAGTCGTTTAAGGCGCCGCGATTCGCTGTGCAGAGTTGCGTCCATTGGGCACGCCAGAAACCTATGATTGTGGGTTCTAATCCCGGTTCGCCCCGATTATGTTTCTAGGTTTGTCAGCACCATACCCGATTATAACATGCTTCTACATTTAGATAACGGGAAAGAATACTTGGACATCGCATATGAGAAATGTTTTATTTTCTCATTGATTTGGTTGTATATGGCTATGTCACAGTTGGAAATGTAAATATGTTTCTTAATGAATTTCGAAATCGATCTATAAATATGTTCTACCAAGAATGGCATTCAACTTTAGGGGATAATTCACGTTATGAATATTACAAAACTTTCAAGACTTTACTTTAATCAAAATTATATTTATCAGTACTCACTACGGAAATCTTAAGAAAACATTTTATTAAATATCGACTGAGTTTGCTAGACCTATTTGTAAATGAAGGAAGAAACCTGTCCATTGAAAAACTGAAAAGAATTTGTCCATTCTGTAATCTAGAGATAGAAAATGAAATTCATTTTGTGTGTGTCAATTTTACAATGATCTTCGAAAGAAATACATAAAAGATTATTTAAAAGCAATGTCACCGATAAACGCCTATGTACTAATTATGATGACAAAGAACGAATCTAATATTTTAAATCTCTATATATTAAGCATGCATTAGCAGAAAAGAAAATGAATTCATCAAACAAAGTGTATATCCAAATGTGTATCATTTATGATTGTATTTACATGTGTAACTCTCTATTGTATATGGGTCGGAGGCCTTTTGTACAATTTACTTCTTTTGATTTGATTTGAGAGCAATCCCTGCTGGTCGACGTGCACTACCTGACCGATGAGTCGATTGTACGATTTTGAATATATGACGACCTCGTGCTTATGAATCACTACAAAATAGTTATGATACCAGGTGTTCGTGGGCGTGTCCTGCACCACATGTGACAAAGCAAAGCTCAGGCAAGAAATCGCCGGCTGAGAGGTTTTTCTTGAATGAGAAAAACTGAATTGATTGCTTTTCTGGATAACAACAAACCAGTTGTTGATAATCAACCAGTTTTGAAATACTGATGAACCAGTCGAGTTAAGATTTTTACCCACGATCATGCCTTTGTTAAATAACTAAGAGGCTGGAAGATGGATATTAATTCAATCATTAATGTTTATGATGTTAAATCTATCATATCAAGTCAAATTAATGAGTAGCTAGATGATTTAAATAGTATAAAATAACCACCTAACAGTTAAAAAGTCATTATGTAAAAATTACTCAGATGACAGTGTTGAATATACCGAACCTTATTTCAGGGACAACCAAAAAGTTATAACCGAATCTAGTTCCATAAGTTCATCATTAGATACATCGATTCAACTGATACCAGAAACTTTAGAGCGATGGACTAATAGAAGTCCAGGTTGGTATGTGGTTAGAATTGATACTTTATATTTAGATATAGCAAATTATATGCCTTTGATAGGTGGATCTTATATATATACTGAACCAAATTAAAAACTTCACAATCCTAAAATTTTAACATTTTGACCAGTTATCATTGTGGGCCCTTATTGTGTATTTAAACAGTAATGGACACGTATTGTCTTCAGATAACACCCGTTTTTGTGCAGGTGAATCGATCAAAATCATGTGCACAGCACTATAGTGGCAAACGTGGTTTTTCACGTGCAACTGGTCACGTGGCCATAATACCACACGTGTTTTCAGCCATACTTGTTAGCAGTCATTAACAAAAAATGAAAAACACAAGAAAACAAAAGTCTTTACAGCCATTTGTCATGCCACGCCTTTCAAATGTGCAACGTGAACGTACCATCGGCATGTTGCAGACGGGAACGTCCGTAGCTGAAGTCGCAGGGACGATGGGTTGTAGTCGCCGGACTGTTTATGATTTACAGACGCGTCTACAGCAAACGGGTACCACCGCTGATCGCCCTCGGCCAGGTCGACAACGTGTGACGTCACATACAGAGGATCGTCAGATTGTCTTACGTCACCTCCGTAACCGATTTTTGACGGCTACATCAACCAGAAATGAACTGTTTAGGGGTAGACTGAGTGCGCAAACTGTTTGAAACCGTCTGAGAACTGCTCACCTTCAAGCACGACGGCCATACTGCGGGCCGATTCTGACTCAATTACACAGACGTCAACGTCAATTGTGGGCACAGCGACAGTGTTGTGTACAGGAAGTTGACAGATTTCGAGGCGGAAGTGTCATGGTGTGGGGTGCTTTCTGTGGCAATGCACGTTCCAGGCTTCTTGTCATCCGTGGCAACCTCAACGCTGCTGCTTACCGCGACCAGGTACTGGCACCAGAACTTCTGCCTTTTATGGCAGCACGTTGACCCGGTTTGATCTTCCAACACGACAATGCCAGGCCCCACACAGCAATTTTGACAAGGAATTTCCTTCAGAATGCGGGAGTCAACGTCATGGACTGGCCGTCAAGGTCTCCCGACCTAAATCCCATCGAACATGTCTGGGATGCTCTTGGCAGAAGTCTGCGCACTCCAGAACCAACCACAGAATTTTGCTGGCACCATTTTGCAGCAACAATGGCGTCGTCTTCCCAATCATGTGTTCACAAGCATCACAAGGTCCATGCGGAGGCGTTGTGTGGCAGTTGTCAACGCACATGGTGGCCATACACGCTACTGAACTTGTGTGCCATCAGATTCTCGTGCTTGGGACTTATGATTTAAACTGTTGATGTTATTACCGAATACCGTAGGTGCTTGGAACAGATTATGGTTACCACCGTTAATTAAAATCCTTCTTTGGACATTAATGATTAAAAATTACCTTCTCTGATACATTTGTCCGTTGTATATCATATATGGGATTATTTTAAAAAATGTGAAGTTTTTCATTTGACTCAGTATATTACAAGAAGAAAAAAGCCATAATTAACGTTAAAAATAATGATGATAACTTTTTAAGATGGACATTAAGATCTGCCTTATTTCCTGCAGATTGTAAAATTACAGATAGGCCTTCGAGCTATCCCCCAGACGATGGACTCAACTTTAGAGGTATAGATGCACCTACACCAATCTCACAAAGTAATAAGGTAGAAAAGCAAATCATTTAA